TGAAGAGACACTCACAGTTGGTATTAGCATTAATAGCATTGATTTACTTTAAAACTGAGTTTATCACTTCATTTAAAACAGCTGAAATATTTTTAGCTACCAAGTTTTCCCTTTGAATAACACATCCCACAAGAAGCATTTCTGGATTCTCATTCTAAACAATTTTTTTTTTGTCCATCAAATTAGGAGCACCTAATACCTGCAGCACAAGATATTATATATATGATTTTTTTTAGCTATTCCACACGTTGTATTTCAAAATCTTCACTTTTTAAAAATATATTTTTGCTAACAGTATTGTTACCGAGTGGCAAAGCTTTCACGTCTTTGTCATCTTTTTCCAGAACAGTTTTAAGAAATGCTGATATTGATGGTTTGATTAAATTTTCTCAGTATGTTTTTTTCCAGATTTAGCAATGACTAAATAAATGTCATAAGTAGCCTCAAGAGTACGATTGACAGTTGCAGTATGAGCAGTAAACAGAGACTTCAAAGTTGTTCCTTTTCCAACATTTCTCTTTAATGTTTGAAAGTATTTTAAATCTAATCTGAAATGATATGAAAACGATGATTGGCCTTTAAATGTGTCACGATTCGATTGGTTTTCAAATTCTAGACAGCTCATTTTCAAATTCCCCCCCCCCCCTAAGTTGAACAACACTGGTTTAGAGACTACCCGCTTTTACACCGCAGATTCATTTCCGTATCCGGAAATTTGATCGAAAGAAATTTCGTCGACGGTAAATTGATCGACGGTAATTTGATCGACCGGAATCTTGGTCGAATCATTTTTCAGTTTTTACGTTAAAATTTTGCTTCAAATTTCTTTTTGTACGCATTATTTTGTTTTACCATATAGTATTGTGCGTTCAAAAAGAAATTTGATGAAAATTTTAACGTGTAAAGTGTAAACTGAAAAAAAAAAAGATTCTACCAAATTTCCGTTCGATCAAATTACCGTCGATTAATTTACCATCGACGAACTTTCAAATTTCCGGTAACCATTAATTTTGATTAATTTCACCAACTATTTCAGACAACAAAAATATTTTTTTAATGTGTATCATGTTGGAGAATGACAAAATACTAAATTTTGATTCCGCATTGTTCTGCACACCATATTGTTTGTTGTGTAGTGAAGTGACGTCACGTTTTTCAAGCTGTCAAGTCGTGCTCCATGTTGGTAGTGCTCCGTGTTGGTGGTGCTCCATGTTGGTAGAGCTCCATGTTGGCAGTGCTCCATGTTTGTAGTGCTATATGTTGGTAGTGCTCCATGTTGGTAGTGCTCCATGCTGGTAGGGCTCCATGTTGGCAGTGCTCCATGTTTGTAGTGCTCCATGTTGGTAGTGCTCCATGTTGGTAGTGCTCCATGTTGGCAGTGCTCAATGTTGGCAGTGCTCCATGTTTGTAGTGCACCATGTTGGTAGGGCTCCATGTTGGTAGTGCTCCATGTTGGTAGTGCTCCATGCTGGTAGTGCTCCATGTTGGTAGTGCTCCGTGTTGTTCTAAAACAAAAAAAAAAACGTAGGACTAACCTTGATGGTTGCCTCTGCTTATTTGATTATCCTCCTTGTGAAGTAACTTAGCAAAAGGATATTTTCAACCAAATGCACTTGCGATTTAAAAAAAAAAAAAAAAAAAGAATCTCATTTAGCGCAGTTATCTGGCATTTTATTTCGTGAAATCAGCGTCATCATATTTCCTTCCTCCTCCTAGAAAAACAGGACAAACTTATTTTGGGGGATGGGGTGGGAGTGGTTAATTTGATAGAATTATAAGCTCCTTAATAATCCCCCAAATCAAATATATATTTAAACCATTGTTAAAATAGATTATTAAAACTAGGCCAGAGAAAAAAAAACATCAAGATTTAAACAACTCCTAAAAAAAAAGTTGTTCGTATCAAACCTTTCTAGGCATTTATTATTATTTTATTATAATATGTTAGTCTTATACTCTAATGGCACGCCCAATTTTACACTAACACTAAAACAATCAAATCTTGATTTTGATTTTTACAATTTTTGGAGTTTGTTGTCAAAAGATATATGCAATTTTTTTAATTTATTCACAGTATTGCAAAACGAAGAGTGGCGTACCTAAGGTGCGGCAGGTAGGGCAAATGCCCTGCGCACCATTTAAAGTGGGGCCAAAAAAACTCAAGTACTTTTAAGTGGCAACGTCTCTTCTGAAGCAGTAGCTTTGGATGGCCCGCCCCTGTGGGCACTTTTGTCGCTATGTAAGTGGGGGGGGGGCGGCATTTTCGGCCAAGTATAACGAAAGGGATTGAATGACATAATGCATAATTTCATTTGACCTCAGTTACTACACATAGGATGAGATAATGGAACACTGTTAAAATGGTTCCGTTCTCCACAGTGTAGTTAGCCTAAATATTCTGAGCATCGTTTCTTTCAGACATTTTTTCCGGGGGGGGGGGGGCATTTCCAATTTTTTTTTTTAAATGGGCAGCGGCCAGGGGCATAGCTAAGGGGTGGGAGGGGAGGCATGCATCCCCGGACGCGAGACAAGCGGGGGCACCAAAATGTGCGTTCATGGTGTTTGATGGTTGGAAATAAATAGTTCGTTTCAGAGTTAGGGGTGGGGGGCGTAAAAATGAATCGTGTCCCCTGACGCAAAACCAGCTACGCCCCTTCCAGTGGCATTGAAGGGGAAGGTGGGGTTGTTCACCAAGGTGTCACTTTTTTCTTTATATTGAGGTGCGGCATTTTCTGACAACTGTAGAGTTTGTATCGTGAACGAGAGAGAGGCAAAACTATTTGACCCCCATGGTGGCATTAAAGTAGCTACGCCTTTAGGTTACAGTGTTTCTCTCGTCCCTTGAGTTATCGAACATTTTCCTGGGGTAGAGATGCGAGGGTGCTGATGAGGCTTTCTTTCATTGAGAGGAATATAAAAAAGCAAGACAAATTTAATAATAGTAAAATGTAAAAAAAAAATTAAAAAGTATATATATATATTTATCTGGTAAGAAATGCGCCGGAGGAGGGGAGCCCTTCACATACTTGGGCAGCACCATCGACATAAATGGTGGATCCGAAAAGAATGTAAGGGCTAGCATTGGAAAGGCTAGGTCAGCATTTGTGCTATTCAGAAAATAAGGAAATAAAAGGAGTAAAATGAGCTGACTCTTCAAACAGAAGTCAGAATTTTCAACACAATTGTAAAAACGGGCCTACCATATGAAGCAGAAACTTGGAGAAAAACAGCGAGCATCATGCAAAAAGTACATACCTTCATAAACACTTATAAAGATCCTGAAGATCAAATGGCCAAACACCATCACCAACAAAGACTTACTAGATGGAACGTGCCAGGAGCTTATTGCTGAAGACATCATAAGGAAAAGATGCATGTGGATAAGGCACATTCTCATCAAACCCCCGGATATCATCACCAGACAATCACTAACATGAAATTTACGGGTAAAAAGAAAGAGAGGACGCCTCAAAATACATGGAGACGTGAGCTAGAGGCAGACACACAAAGTATGGGATAAACATGGAAGCTGCTGAAAAGGAACACACAGGACAGAGATGAATGTAAAATTCGTATAGTCGCCCTATGTCCAAGACGGGGTAAAAGGCGTAAGTACGTAAGTGAGTAAGATGAATCTTGAATGAAGTTGTCCCATCAGAATCCGTTGAAAAACTGAAAGGCAAATGTTTCCCTGGCCCCGAAAGTGGTGAATATTTTGTGATATATATTTTCAAGTGTATTTGTTCCAAATTTAATCTGGATTTAGTCATTAGTTGTTAATTTTTTAATGTAGCTCCTAAGAAAACACTAAATTTAGAGAAGCCACGTGATTGGCTTATAGTGCAGACAAGTGCTATAAATAGCTCTAAGAGGAAGTTTTTTGTTTTAAAGTCAAGCCCTTCATTTTACAAGGATATATATATATAGCCTATGTATAGAACAGCACCGTTCTAATTATAATTTTTTGCCTATTGAGATTACTGATTGTTTTTAAAATCAACAGATTTTAAAAAAAACCTTAACGAACGATTACTATAAATTGAGACTTTAACGAATCTTCCTTTTAAATAAAAGTTAAATCATAGTAGATGTTTGGTTTTCAAATTCTAGGCAGTTCATTTTCAAATTCCCCCCACCCCCCCCCCCAAACACTCAAATCTCCCCCCCCCCCAATAGGGAGGGGCTGGGTTTACACGTCCCTTTTTGCTCTTTGTATTTACTAAAGCGGGGGCACAATAGAAAGTTTATGAGCAGGGCCATGCAGAGGAAAAGCGATTCCCGGGCAAAGCCTGGATATGCAGCCCTCAATATATTAAAAAAACAACAAAACCAGTGCCACCCGTGCAGACCAGTAAAGAAGATTTTAGCGCTCATTGTATTTTGAAGTACACGGGATTTTTTATCATTTAATTCACTATCAAAGTCCTATCTAGAGACGAGTTTTGGCGCCCGCCTGATGTTGGAGCCTGGGATTAAAAAATTAGTGCCCCATTTGACCCCCCCCCCCCCCCCCCCCCCCCCCCCCTATTATTGTGATTATTGTCGTTTTATTTTTCTTAATTTATGAAAGTGAAAAAAAAATATTTACAATTAACCTATCTTTGTTCCCCTGTCAAATTATTGTGATTTTTTAAAAAATACTGCAACCCCTTTAGGTCGGCTGGAACGTATGTATTTTATTACAAAATATTTATGACTTCAGCCACATGTATAAAAAAATGAGGAAAGTTGCGAAATGAAATTTCCATTTCATCGCTAACATCATTGCTAGGTTTGTACTAGAAGCACTTGATAGTTACGGTATTTAGACACTAAGTTAAACTCTCGAAACCAGTCTTTATTGGAAAGCGCAATTTTTTCTTGATAGACTGAGTGTCCGTTGATTTTGTATATTATTATAAGTTTGATTTTTAATTAATTAGAATAATGTTGTAATTATTTTTAAAAAAATGGCACCTATTTTATGTTAGCGGATATAGATATGGTTTGGTAGCTATTTGACATTGAGGTCAACCTATTTATGGTACACCTGTGTGTTACTGTTGTGTATGTGATGTGTAGAGCTAACGAAGAAAGTAACGAGCTAAGTTTATTTAAGGACCAACATTTTGTATACATTAAAGAAGCATTTTATTTACTTCTTTTAGATAAAGCTTCACCAGAAATACAAGATTTATAAGCTTCGACCTCGATTTTCGGCCCATGACAACGCTTTCAATTTTATCCTGGTACCCGGGAATGACGCATAGAGTCGACGGCCCAGCAGCGTATTCGTTGTGAGTTTATCTTACCCTAAAGACAGAAGCACTGAAATGAGAGTGACAACAAACGGAACGCTTTACTACCCAAAGCTTGCTTAGATCAAGGACACACTTGTTTGGAGATGGATGATTATGATCCAGCTTGTCCCACAGAGTAAGATATTGTGGCCAATTATGACTGGGGGCTGCCGTTGTGTGAATGGCCTCGTTACTGGTAGTTTTACAAAAATCGGTAAACCCAAAAATCAAAATTTTGAACTCAGTTTTACAACTTTAAATCGTTAATTAACTGTGCTAAGCTCAAAATTTAACTAATGGACGGTATGAATATCATCAAATGTGTTGACATCATGAGGTCTACCTGATTAAGTCATTAAGTGTGTATCATTAGTATCATAGTTGAAGGGAAGCCAGGGAAAGTAGGCTACACTTTACTTATACATCAGTCTCTAAGTAGTAAGTAGGGAAACATTTTAGTTTTAGAAAATAGAATGAGTTATTTTGCTTAGTTGATCAAACTCAAATTCAAATCAAGCCAAATATTTTAAGGGAGGGTGATAATAATAATATAACCATCACTAGCTCCTAATATCTTAATTTTTAGAAATGAAATTTCAGAGTTTAGGCTTCTGCCTCAGCGTTACATTAAAATTAAGGACTAAGTGGGCTACTTATTAGAGTCAAGTTTTAAAATAAACTTCTAAAGTCATATTACATTGTCAGTCCAGTCTTCATAGCCTCATTCACAGATTTAGAGGTTCATGTTTTTCCTTCAACGTCATTGTACAGTGGGGAGTCTGGTGTTTCAGCTACCGCTGGTAGTATAGTACTGGGTATATTATAAGAAAGGCAGTGTCTACACGTCAGGCGCGGCGGAGGTATATCTCCCGCACTATTTGTCCGGCGACCTAGTCACATGACCGCCGTAACAAAGTGATGAGAGATATCTTGTCGGTCAGCCTTGTCACGTGACTGCGAATGATTTAATACTATTGTTAATTTTAAAATCTATTTCTCTACCAAGTAATGTACTGATTATCTTGAATGCAAATAATAGAAAAAAAAGTGAAAGTGGCTTGTAAACATTTTTGTTTAGTTTGTTATTTGAGTTTGTGCACCAGTAATCCATAAAATAAATTAGGGGCCTGTGTATTTATCTCAATGGCATTGTAAGCAAAGGGGGATATTATTATTATTAGGTGACAATTTCCCCCTAATGTCTGTGCAATTGCACGCTACTTGAAAAGTAGATTTTATTTTATACTATGTAAGTGTATAATTATTGGTATGCCTGTATTATTATCTAACCTTACTTACTGTTTAAGTTTTAGCAGATTTTTAATTATTTTTAATTCAGCCTTGTGTATGACGACAACTCTGCTTACATGGGTGGACTGGAACACATGGAAAATTCCAAGTCGGCCACCAGGGTTATGATATTTTTACAACCTGGGCTACTTCTACATTACAATTACGTTTGGGTACTAAATCTCCTCTTAGACATTTTTCTTCCAGGCCACTTGCACACTCCCGTTCACCACTGGCTGCATATATTAAATAGAGAATATGTATTATTTAAGCACGGCACACCCGTTCTTTGGGATGCCACACCAATTTGTAGATTATGGTTTTATTTGTTTGGATACTAGTTTACACTAATTTGTAGATTATGGTTTAATTTCTTTGGATACCACACTAATTTGTAGATTACGGTTTCATTTCTTTGGATACTACACTAATTTGTAGATTACAGTTTCTTTTATTTGGATGCTACTCCCATTTGAAGATGATAGCTCCATTTTTTTGCACACAGAACTAAAGGCCATTCCTGAAAGTTGTGCACACACAGTTTATAAATATACCTGTACAATGTACAGTACATCACCAAAAATACAATGGCGTATGACTTTACAATAACGGCATTTTTGATAAATGGTGGTCTCCATTTTTTTTTGTACTGGAAATTTATGTCAAATCTAATTTATCAATAAAAAATTATGTTTGACTGGCCAGTGTGTCCCATTCTCAGTCAGTTTGCAAAGGATTTAAAAGGGATTATCATTATTATCAATGATCAAGAGAAAAAGATGAGTCGAATTCTAATTATTATTTTAGCTCAAATTAAATAAAATAATATTGCCTCATATGATCTGATATTTGTTACCATACAGATTTTATTATGTGTATCCCATAACTGAGCACAACATCATTGAGGTTGCACACATGATACTATGCTTCACATGTCTGTTTGAAATGGCTCACATGAAGATTTTATCCACATTTTTATGACAGTGGACATCAAGTTAATGAAATTTTCTATACCGATATATATGCTTTTTTGAAAAAAAATGGTTTACTTCTTTTCTTTTCATAGGGATGAGTCTCAACTTATGGAATTAGATCTTTCACAAGTTCCCCTGCCCCCCACATTGCCTACTCAAAGCAAAACGCGATCTAGAAATTTTTCAAAGCAGATATCACCCACTTCGGACAAAGAGGATGATAAAAAAGGCAAGAAGAAAAAGAGGAAGAAGAAAAGACACGGCCGGGGCCAAGATGGTGGAGAGGAAGAGAAAGAGGTACTTAAAAAAAATACTTTTGACAATGGCACGAAATCCTGACTTATAAAAATTAGAATACTTATTATTTGGCTAAGTTAGCTCCCTGGAAACCTAGGAATTCAATAGATGTAGCTTAATTGTTATCTTTTATATGAAGAGGTAGTTCAGTAGCTTTATTGTTATCTTTTTTATGAAGAGGTAGTTCAAAGGAAAATAATATAGTTAACCAAATCTGATCTGAAATTTTTTGTTTGAAACAGAATCTGCTTTACTCTGATTGGCTGGGTGTGATTTTTTTTTTCTCCATGATTTAATGAAGATCAGAATATAGCTACAATTACAATGGGGACACAGGTTTAAAGCAGGGAAAAATGTGGGCTAAGGCTTCTGCACAGGATGGGAAAATATAGGCTCAGGGTACTGCACAAGTGCATTTATACATATTTTTTAGACAAAACAAATAGAGGTACTGGTATTAAAAGAATGGAACTGATCATGTCCAACAGAAGGGGCATAACTCAACATTCCTATTGTTTTCAATAATATGAGCACTGGAAATGTCTGCATATTGGTTATATTTCTGATTCAGTTCTTCTGTAGTAAATAAATATAATTTGTGAATTTTGACTGAACTAAGCCTTTTTTGAGGGAGTTTTGATGCAATTTTGCTTCAGTTCAGATAGTTAAAAATTAGGTTGTGTCCGAAATGAATAAAACATAATACTATTTAAATTGGATCAATGCTGTCCCCACTTATGCAAAAAAATTTTCTAAATCTATCTATGGTAAATGTGGAGTTGTTCCTCTGTGTCCGTGGTTACAGTCAATGCAATTGCAATTTCTGAGATGAATGGGTTAATGCTGACATTTTTATCCATATAGAGTACATAGGGGGACTTCAAAAATTAAAACATGGTACCTGGTAATTAATTAAGTTTAAAGTAAAGTAACAAAAATACTGGTCAACAAAATTATCAGAGTTGGTATTGGTACTCAAATATAATTTCTATAAAGCACTGTGAACTGTAACATTCATTCTGATGTCCTAGCTCAATAACTTGCATATTTTAAGACGAATGGCAATACTATTTCACACACACAAATCAAGCTTTTAGTTGCATAAACTCTAGTTAATAAATCCATATGTGCATGTATAACCTTGATTTTTAAATCTTAGTACTGTCGCTGAGTGCAAAATCAAAACATGGAATGGCAACAGAGATCGCTTATTTTCTTACCAAAAGCATAAAAGTTTGTAATTATTTCAACATCAAAATAATTTTTAAAAGGAGATCAGTATGAGTATAAGTACTGTAATAAATCTGAAAATGATCATTCATCATTCAGATCCATTGGCCATTTTGGGCATGTGTCCTTTGTGCTGCTGTCATGGTGAAGAATTGACACACTCTCCACAGATGTTTTTTTTTGGTATATGGTGGTGGTGTTGTATTATTTGGTACGGGACATAGTGTAGGCGTAAGTCTTGATGTAGGGCTGGGCAATGTCTCATTTGGATGTTTGCAGAGGGGGCATATTGGTGTTTTATCTGGTTTTATGCGGTTCAAGTGGGCATTAAGTTGTAGGTGTCCTGAGGTCAGGTGAAAGTGAAAGATTATGATCTGTTCATGTCTTTGGATGCAGTTTATTGAATCTTTAAGGTCTGGGCATGTGTGTGAAAACACATCTTCTTGTCAGCATGTGTGTGAAAACATAAATTTCTGTTGATCCCATTCCTTTAACCACTCTTCTTTTTTGTTAGCTTTGATAATCTGCTTAGTAGTGTTGAGTTCTGTAGGTTTGTTTGGCTGTGCTGAGTGATGTAGTTATGTTTGTTCACTGGATGCTCCTGGTGGTCTGGCTAGTTTGTCTGCTCTTTCATGTCCTTGCATGTTGTGCTGTCCTGGTATTCATTATAATTTGAGCTTCACTGCATAGGTTTGGAGGAAGATGTCTTATAGAATGATTGGCTAGTCTTCTCTGTCTGTTGGTAGGTGGTGTTCCTCTTCATTTTCAGAGCCCACATCTTAGTTTTGATTTCTGTTTAATTCTATGGTTTAGTCTCCATGTTTCAACGGTTTGTCTAGTTGGACATAGCCTTTCAACCACCTCATGAACTGCCTCTAGTTGGACATAGCCTTTCAACCACCTCATGAACTGCCTCTGCTTGGACATAGCCTTTCAACCACCTCATGAACTGCCTCTACTTGGACATAGCCTTTCAACCACCTCATGAACTGCCTCTACTTGGACATAGCCTTTCAACCACCTCATGAACTGCCTCTAGTTGGACAAAGCCTTTCAACCACCTCATGAACTGCCTCTAGTTGGACATAGCCTCTCTTCTAAAATTTAGTGGCTCATTATTAGCATGCCACTGTTGGGGTAGATCTTAGTCTACCCCAGATGGAATGGACTGCCTGGCTTTGTAATCTTCCTAGAGATTCCTGTAGTGTATTGCTGCAAATTGACTGTAGCGCAAAGCTGGATTCCATCACTGATAACATATAACCTATGGACAACTAGCTGCAGTATGGTCTTCTCACTGCCCTATCAATCTGTTATGGAGCCTAAAATCAGTCTGATCTGTTGGGAGTCTAAGATCAGTCTGTTCTGTTGGGAGTCTAAAATCAGTCTGATATGGAGCTTAAATCAGTCTCTTACAAAGCCTAAAATCAGCCTGATATGGAGCTTAAATCAGTCTGTTATGAAGCCTAAAATCAGCCTGATATGGAGCTTAAATCAGTATGTTATGGAGCCTAAAATCAGTCTGTCATGAAATATAATAACATTTATTAAGGCCAAAAGTCCATGTAATAAAAACCAAAAAACCACCAGTAATAGTAATAGCATCCCTACTTCTAGCATAAAATTTGTCAAGTATATTTTCCAGCATCTTTTTTTTCTAATAAAACATCTAAAAGTAAGTGAAATAATAATTAGATTAAAAAATGAAACATGAGGTCGTGAACTAATGGTTGGAAACAATTATTGACTTAGTATTATAATTACACAAAGGGAAAGTGTAGGCCATGGAAGATCTTATTCTGTAGAATCCAATTAATTCTATTGGGATTTGAGACATTTACTTTCAATGGATAATGCTGCATAATAATGTTACCAGTCCATGGGTTTTAATGTTCTATTAGCCCTTTATGGTGTTACAAATAGACTCTAGAGAGCACTGCCATATTTCTTTGAAATTTACTTTTCGTTTTATGTCAGTGTGTTGCCATATGGCACCATATGGCAGCAACATGGCACACATGTAGCCACATTGACCATTTGTTGTGCTATGGAAGCATCGAGCAACATGGCACACATGTAGCCACATTGACCATTTGATGTGCTATGGAAGCATAGAGCAACATGGCACACATGTAGCCACATTGACCATTTGTTGTTCTATGGAAGCATAGAGCAACATGGCACACATGTAGCCACATTGACCATTTGTTGTGCTATGGAAGCATAGAGCAACATGGCACACATGTAGCCACATTGACCATTTGTTGTGCTATGAAACAGAGCAACATGGCACACATGTAGCCACATTGACCATTTATTGTGCTATGGAAGCATAGACAAACACAATATAAACAACACAAAGTAACAAAAGCCGGATGGTATTGTTATATGAAAAGTAGTTATCTATATAGTTTATTGATAACTTTTGTTGAGTCTGTTTCATGGTTTTACCAAGCACTTTCAGAAAAGGCAATGGTTAAACGGTTATCTAAATCCTGATATTAATATAAATGACGCCATGTCTTATGAAGTTATAGATAGTAAAAGAGATTGAATGTATTTTTCTATTCAGTTTCTTTGATATAAATGTGGACCTAATTCAAAAGAAATAATAATAAATCATTGGACAACCATTAGAGGTGTCTAGAATAAATATGAATGGATTTGAAGGACTGCATTCAAGCTCTGTGAATGAAATAGTAAATCAAGGTACCGGTATGTTGAAGCTTGAATCAAAAGCCAGGACAATCACATGGGAACGTTTCGGCTTAGATCTTCATGTCCTGTCTTTTGATTCAAGCTTCAACATACCTTGTTTTACTATTTCATAAGTGTCTAGAAACAGTATTCACTACTTGTAGCTTTAAAATATAAATTAAAGGACTGCATTCAAGCCTAGTAAATGAATGAAATAGTCTACTGTGCTCTGTTCTTTGTTATATTTTCATTTCTACTGTTAGCTGAAGAAGGCTTTATGCCGAAACGTCCTTTATTTTTTGTCCTGTTCTCTTGTTCAACCTTCCACATACCCTGTTTTGCTATTTCATTCATTTGTAGCTTTAAATTTAAACAACAAAAACATTGGGTCAAGAGAATGGAGATTTATTTTGATAGTCTCATCTTGGATGTAATTTTTTATTATTATGTAAAATTATCTCATTCCTTATGATTATTGATAGGGATCTCACTCCATTATAATTATTGATGTGATATCATTCCTCTATGATCATTGAGAGTGATATCATTCCATTATGAATATTTATTAGAGCATATCATTCCACTATGATTATTGAGAGTGATATTATTCCACTTTGATTATTTAGATTTAGAGTTTCTCATTCTACTATGATTATTGAGAGTGATATCATTCCAATATGATTATTGAGAGTGATATCATTCCACTATGATTATTGAGAGTGATGTCATTCCACTATGATTATTGAGAGTGATATCATTCCACTATGATTGTTGAGAGAAATCTCATTCCACTATGATTATTGAGAGTGATGTCATTCCACTATGATTATTGAGGGTGATATCATTCCACTATGATTATTATTGAGAGTGATGTCATTCCACTATGATTATTGAGAGTGATATCATTCCACTATGATTATTGAGAGTGATGTCATTCCACAATAATTGATATTGATCTCATTCCATTATGATATTAGTATTTATGTTTATGAAAACAAATTTCTTTTAGCATGATGATCATTTCTTTTTAAATGATTAAATCCATTACATACTCTCAAATTATATTCAAACCCCTCTCCTAGTAAAACACACCTCATTATGAAGGGAATGCAAAAGAAACAATTATATACCGGGTATCATATATTTTGTTATAAAATTATTGGTCTATGCTACACTACTTTATAATATGGAAGCCAGCTTTATGCTGTTGCTATCACTGTAATATAAAGTTGTTTGTACCCCGTAGTATTATAACTTATAACTGTAGATTTAAATATGGTTGTTTTTTTCTGAGAAGCCAAAAGGAAGAAAGACAAATATTGCGACATTTTTATTTTAAAATATACAGATTGCAGGGCCGAAGTTTAATTCTAGCAATCATACGCCTACTGCCCATTGCGATAGTCGGTAAACATTTGTGTGTGTGTGTGTGTAGCTCATGGCTTCATGTTATGTAAATGTAATTGATTATACATATCGCGGATGAAAACGCCACTCAGTCATTGTGAATTAGAAGTTTGATTAAACGGATCTGAAAGTATAGACTACGTACTGGAAGTATAGACTACGTACTATTAAATATTAAAACTAGTCCAACTTAATGCCTGGAGGATACTTATTAAATTATAGTTGTGAGATACAGAAGTAACATCAGGCTTGATGCTAGCCGTGCAAATATGACATCCACTCCCAGCGCTTACCACCACGTCCACGGGGCAACGCTTAGAAAGCAGCCACTTGGAAGTAGCACGGCATTTTTTAAAACTGGGTCAGCAACTAGGCCAAGCCAGTTATAGCAAGGCCGATAAAGCAAAAATGAGCTGTGTGGAAATAATGTAAAAAAGCTCGAATGTTAATAGTACTTTTAGCTTAAAAAACGATGCAGATTTTTTTAATGAATATTTTGGAAGAATACAATATTCTCTTTATAGTAAAAATCTCTACCTATTGGTTATTTCAAAGCAGATATTGTAATTGTAATAAACATACATTGACATAATTATGTTTTGGACCATAAACTACTATAAGTTCTATAACTATGTTTATGCTTAATCATCTAAACTGAATACGGGTTTCACAAACGTCTTGTCAAGCATCGACATCTAATCTGAAAGAAAAAAAAAATAATTACAACTATAAAAACCATAACAATCTCATCAAAATAGGTATTCAATCAGTATAATGTAAATATGGGATTAGGCTAGGGGAGGGGAGAAAAGTATAGGGGTGAATGTGTTTTATTCTTCACCACGGTTGTAAAAAGAAGGTTTCTATTTATATACTTAATCTCTTGTTTTGTTAGAGGACTCTAATAAGAAGAGGAGGCTATATTATATTAAATATATTTTGAAGAAGAATATTCAGTTCCATTTAATATTATTCAATCAATAAACGTTACGGCATCTACTAAAAATGATATATATTATTGAAATCAGGTTATATTATTTGTGGCGTGTATGCCGTCACATAAATAAGCATCGAATGTTCTAAGTTTGTTAATTAAACGATACATAGATAACAGAAAAAAACGAATATTTGAAACAACCGATACGTGTGTGTCATATTATAATTTGGGTTAGTCTAAATGCCTAAACTAGCTGAAACATTTGTGAAGCGAGAAAATGTGTAGGCGTTGAACAGGAAGTTACTTTTCTTTTATGTCTCAAATTAATTTCGCATTTTTGTTTTTATAATTATGAAAGGCATTTGAATTTAATATAATTAGTATTTCAGAGTGAGGCTATTTTTACATGACCAAATGCTTACAGATAACTTTGATAGTAGTATTTTAAAAAATCTAAAATGAATACAACATTTTGACAACATATATGAAAATGGCTTAATTGTTGAAATGCTGGCTTTCATTATTATAAATATTGATTATTATTTTTTACTTTTTAAAAGCTGTTACTATTTTAAAAGTTATTCCATTTTTGTTTCCCATACAAATAACTTAATTGCAATTGTCTAATAAATAGCAATCGGCTCTTTGCAGAAAACTGTTATAATTTAAAATATTTTTGCATTGACTTGACAAAAGTTATTTTATTCTATTCAGTTTCTTGGTACATCCATTTTATTTTATAAGATTGCATTTTCAAGGTTTTTGGGATAATTATTATTAACAGCTGTTTAATTGTGATATTTTCATTTGATTCACATCCCATGAATTTTGTGATTTGAATAATAATAATAATTCTTTTCTGTTTTGTTTGAGCAGGAAGAGGCTCCAATTATTACTGAAGCAATTCATGAAACAGCAGCAGATCTACTACACAAAATTGAAAATGGTTTGTTCATTGTTTATTTTAGATTTAAAAATTTGGCTATATATATATATATATTATTATTATTATATATAGACCTAGTTTATTTCTAAAGGCAAAGAAACGTGATCACATCACTCCACTACTTCACTCACTTCATTGGCTCCCTATACAGGCACGCATTGATGACGAGCTGTCTTTTCTCTGTCACAACTTTTTCTCTGGTTCCTGCCCTTCCTATCTTACTGAACTTTTTACTCTCTGTTCACCCCTTCAAAAGCTTCATTCCTCCACAGACACGTGTATTCTTTCTGTTCCCAGAACACGCACTAAAACATATTGTGAACAATCTTTCTCTTTCTTTGCCCCAAAACAATGCAAGTATCTCCCATTACACATCCACACTATAACGACCATCACAGCCTTCAAAACTGCCCTTAAGACCCATCTCTTTAAACAGTACTATACCAACTAATTCTCACCCGCTCTGGCTGATAAAGAATGCTCAATTCTGCTGGGTGCTGTCCATGGCTAGACAGGTGTAGATAGTACTTGGGTGGGCGAGGTCAAGCTTTTCACCAATTGTTTTTAAATGTATACGTTTATGTAAAAGTTAATTTTTAGGTGAAGCGCTGTGAGTGTTACGAATTGAATATATATTAGGATTGCATGTTTTTTGGAGAACTTTTGGGTAGATGTTGCTATTAAATGTTTGGTATTTTGTGACATATTGTGCGTAAGGGGAAATGATGTATTATTGTGTAGTTTTTTGTGATTGAGTAATGGCAGTTGACGATGTAGTTTAGTCGTGTTAATAAATATACTTTATTCTAATAATCAATGGTTTGTGTAATTAATGTAATAACCCCTAGACAAAGCGAAGCTAACGACCTTTGGTAAGACCGGGTTCGTAACAGTGAGCTTAGCTCTAGGTTGGGGTACAGTGCTATTTAAAACCACCTAATAATAACAATAATAATAATAATAATAATATTAGCAAGGGAATCATCATTGCAAATATGAAAAGCAAATGGGTTAGTTTTAAATATTTTATTAATTTAATCCTGTTCGGATCACAAATACATATAAAATACAATTTTTATTTAATATTAAGAACATTAAACATTAAAAAAAAAAAAAAATGACCATTCAATAGAATAGCCTGTGCAATGGAGAGCCATGGAAGATATTGAAAAGAAAAAAAAGCCTGTTTGTTAGAATAGATTTCATTCATTTATTTACAGTAGGAAAAGTTTGAATTATTTTTGTTGATTTAATCAACTTTTGGAATAAATTACCCAAACCTTTTTAACAAAATAAAATTTTTAGGAAAAAAAATTGCATGCCTGGAATGTGACCTGGTCTCCAAACATGTGGCTGGTGTTTATTTGATCAATTCATCGCAAGGCTTAGCCATCAATTAATCATGATTCAAACTATGCATAATTGGGCATGCAAAAGGAAAACCACTATTAAATTGAGTTATTTCCCAGCCATACTTCTTAGCATTTGGTATTGTTATTGGGTTGTATATTTATACTCTGATTTTCATGAAATTTTTTTGTCTTTTATTTCTGTAGTCCCAGAGAGGGAAGATAAACCTCATACTTCAGCCACTTCCTCCAGCCAGTTACCAGGAGACCAAGTCAAAGTTGACACCCCATCTGCGCCTCTGTCATCCGATGCCACAGCTCAAGCGGCCTCTATCTCAAGTAGGTCATCAGGCAGACTACAGTTTAAGCTTGCGGCAGATCCCACCTCAGGCAAAGCCAAAGTTCTGTTCCAGCTCAACAAGCCACTGAAAGTGAGCGCTCTGCGTGTGGCTTCTGAAGAAGAGGAAGAAAAGGAAGAGGTGGTTGAAGAGGAGGAAAAACAAATTATTGAAAAGACAGCAGCCGGGGAGTATGTTCCCACACGATTCAAGGTCTCCAAAAAGCATGAAATGTACAAACCCAATCTGCTAGGTCCAGGCTTGACAGTGGTGTTTAACTCCCCTTCCATTGGAATGGCAATGGGGTCAGCGCAGCCTGGTAATGTTAATTCTGGTGGTTCCAGCCAGCTAGCCACAGGCTCTAAAGATGTTGATGGGAACAGCAGAGGCGATTTCAGAAAAACTAATGATGAGGTGCGGAAGAAGAAAGAAGATGATGAAGGCCAGGCATTGCCATTGAGGCGAAGTGAAAGAAGGAGAAGCAGGGATACTAAAGAGCAGGACAGAGAGAAGGAGAGTGAGAGTGGTTCAAGGGCTGGCCGGTTCGATAGAAGTTTGGACAGAAGAGATGATTCGAGAGGCACACGCTCTTCTTTCTCCAGATCACAGAAAGACGCAGGTAAACGTCGAGACAGTGGTGACACTGGAAGAAGAGGGAAAGTTGATGCTGTGCAGGAGAGGAGGAGATCATCAAGATTCCAAAAGGATGAGGAGGAAAGGAAAGACAAAGACACAGAGGGCAGCAGTGGTGCAAGGAGGCATCAGCACAGACGTCAGGACTCTTCTGTTGAAGACAGGAGGACAAGGAACGCTCGGAGAAGCAGGAGCGGGAGCAGAGACAGGAAGCATAAAAGTCCGAGCCGAAGCCCTCGCAGGTCAACAGCCAAGCTTGAGATGGCAGGTCAGGACGAAGACAAATCTGGCTTGGCTGCATGTCAGGCCATTGGTTCCCCTCCCTGCACCAGACTCCAAGAGCCGTCCCCACCCAGGGGTGAGGAGAATACAAAGCCAGAGGCGGTAGATAAGTCAGCCTTAGTGGTGGATCCATGGTCACCGGTACCTCAGCATTCTAATGTGTTAGATCCATCATCAGAAGGTAATCAAGTGGCTAATGTGTTAGATCCATCATCAGAAGGTAATAAAGTGGCTAATGTGTTAGATCCATCATCAGAAGGTAATCAAGTGGAAGAATTTGCCAGGGTAGAGGAAGAGGGTGTTGCAGGGAAACCTGTTCAAGATGACATCACTGTGACAAGGAGTGATGCAACTGTGCAAGATGGCATTAGTCTGACAAAGAGTGATGCTACTGTGCTAGATGACATTAATGTGACAAAGAGTGATGCAACTTTGCTAGATGACATCACTGTGACAAAGAGTGATGCATTTGTGCTAGATGACATTAATGTGACAAAGAGTGATGCAACTGTGCAAGATGACATTAATGTGACAAAGATTGATGTAACTGAGCAAGATGGCATTAGTCTGACAAAGATTGATGCAACTGTGCAAGATGACATTAGTCTGAAAAAGAGTGATGCAACTGGGCAAGATAGCATTATTGTGACAAAGAGTGATGCAACTTTGAAGTTGGAATCAAGTGATTCAGAAGGCGCTGCCAAAAAAACTGTTCAGAAGTTAGTCATTCGTAGGTCATTTGACACCAATGACTTCCAGGTCACACGAAATGACCTTGCAGATGCAGAGGATAGCGAAAAAGTACACTTGGGTGATTCTGGAAGTGTAATAAAAACTCAGGTGAAAGATTCAACCTCTTCACCTAAAAAGAGAATGAAAAGCTCCCAGGGACAAAGTCCTGCTGCTGCAGATGTGGACGTTGAAAGAGAAACCAGAGGTAGAAATTCTGTGTCCAATGCTGGTCGGAGAAGAAAAGAAAAGAAAGATTGGATAAGTACCTCTCGGAGAGAATCTCTGAGACGACAGCGGTCAAACTCATCTGAATCTGATGAAGGACACAAAGGGAAAGTAACCTCCGGATCCAAAAAATCTTCAGGAAGGCATGAAACTGCCAGGGGGAGGCCATCTGGTTTTCGTGTTGATGAGCCCGCCCTTCCTCCCGAGCAAGTCTTAGTGGATGTCTCTGCCATCCCAGGGAAAAGTAAATGGGAGATGGAGGACGAAGAAGAAGAGATGGAGCCTGTAGAGGATGCTTACAAAAGCACTATTTACGGGAACTACAGAGCTGAACAACAGAAGCCGCCAGTGGCCAAAGCTTATGAAGCCCTTCAAGTGTCTTGGCGGAGGTCAGCCCGTCTCCAGACAGATGCTACTAAAAAATCCACCCTTGTCAAATCAAAGGCTAGGGAGAGCAGCAGCAATGAAGATGATTTGTCCCAGGACCGTCATAAGGGCAAAGAGAAGAAGAGGCACGGCCACAAAAGCAAAGCTGAGAAAAAAACGAGGAGGAAGAAGAAAAGGCATGAAGGGGGCAGCAGCACAGAGGAGCAAATGGAGTTGGGGGAGAAACGGAAATCAAAGAGAGACTCGGACGAAAATCAGGAAGAGGATAGGAAACTTGTGGAGGCAAAGAGAAAAGAGGCTTCGATAAAAGCCAAGTCTGGCATTGACACAGCCAAACTTGTGACCTATCTGAAGGAGTACAGCGAGAAGGAAGAGTTTGTTGTGAAAGAGGAAGCCCCCAAAGCTAAAGCCGAGCTGGACAACAGTAAGATTGTGAGTTATCTGAAGGAGTACAGCGAGATGATGACCACAGATCAAGAGAAGGCCACCAAGTCAGACCGTGATGGTATGTCTACAACTGGTCAAGAAGATAAAGATGGATCACGAGAAGCAAATGTCCAGTCTAGTGAGATGACAGAATTAAATGTTGTGCCTGATTCTGAGAAGCCGGAAACATCGGTCATGGCTGAGGACAGCCAGTTCAATACAACTATTGAGCAGCAAGATGGGGAATCAATGATATCCATTAACAAGGAAATACTGGTACCCTCAAATAGCAACTTGTTAGAAGGGGGAAAGACAGAAGGCGGCAATATAGAGGAGGCTGGTCCTCACACTGATAAGAGGAGGTCGGTGTCCAAAGAAAGGAGTGAAAGAGCCGACTCAAAATCCTCAATGAGAAGTCGTGAAAGGGAAGGCAGGTCAAGAACTCCAGAGAAAGGGAAAGATAAAAGAGAAAGGTCAAAATCAACTGAGAGAACCAGAGAAAAAGAAAGGTCCAAATCTTTGGAAATAATCAGAGAAAAGGGAGATAGATCTGAATCTCCTGTGAGAAATAGAAGCAAGAGAAATAAGTCCAAATCCATTGAAAGAATTAGAGACAGAAGAGAAAGATCCAAATCTATTGAAAAAACTAGAGAAAAGCGAGAAAGGTCCAAATCTACTGAAAGATCTAGAGATAAACGAGAAAGGTCCAAATCTCCTGAAAGATCTAGAGATAAACGAGAAAGGTCCAAATCTCCTGAAAGATCTAGAGATAAACGTGACAGATCCAAATCTCCTGAAAGATCTAGAGATAAACGAGAAAGGTCCAAATCTACTGAAAGATCTAGAGATAAACGAGAAAGGTCCAAATCTACTGAAAGATCTAAAGATAAACGAGAAAGGTCCAAATCTACTGAAAGATCTAGAGATAAACGAGAAAGGTCCAAATCTACTGAAAGATCTAGAGATAAACGTGACAGATCCAAATCTCCTGAAAGATCCAGAGACAAAAGGGATAGGTCCAGGTCAGTTGATAGAAACCGCAGAAATCTAAGGTCAAAGTCTCCCAAACAACATGAAAGATCAAGATCAACTGACAGGAGGTTGAACAGACGGTCAAGGTCACCTTATTTCAGGTCAAGGGGCAGAAGAAACAGGTCAAAATCAGGATCCCCCGAGAGGAAAGATCGAGATAGGAAAAATAGGTCACGATCAAAATCGTTTGAAAGAGGAAGATTTGTCAGGCGACATCGCAGTCCAGGAAGAGATATGTATGGTAGAGGGAGGCGTGAACGGGACAGGCGTGGCCGATCTCGCTCAGACTCACGGGACAGAAACCTCGATCTGAAAAAGCACGGGGTCGTCGTAGAAAAACCCAGTGGGCGCATGGCCTCATCCCCCAACAACCGAGAGAAGGAAGACATTGGGAAAACGGATGGAAAGATAATTTGCAGCACTGATGCAGAGTTCCTCACTGCCAACATTGATCTATCCACCATCCCGATCCCAGGGGAAATCCCTCTGCCGGGAGAAGTTGTCGTTAAAAATGAGCTGGCTGTTACAGTAGAAACCCCTGCCCCCATTGATGCGAATGTTGATGATGAATCCATGGAGATTTCAGATGAAGACGGTGGCAAAGAAAAAGAAGCTGATAAAGATGGGGAACAGCAAGGTCAATCAAAAGATGATGTGGTAGCAGCCAGCCAGCCAGAAGCCATGGCCACATATGTGAACCCGGCCACACTTAGTGCAGGAAAGGATAGACAGATAAAATTCTCCATCGTTGGCTCTGGCAGGAAACTGAAGCCAGCCGGGATGCTGGGGCTGCTGGATGACTTGGCAGAGCCCGGGAGCAAAGCAATGGTCCCCACCGATGCTGACGCTGGGCAGGTTGATGATGCAGGCGAGCCTTCATCAAGAGAGGACTTTCAAAATGATGTTGGCGGTCTGCCGAATCGAGAGGAGGAACGAAATAATAGTCACTCGTTGTTGCTTGGCAACATGGGTCGTCCTGATTCAGTTGATGTGCCCCCGGTCTTGACACAAGACAGACATGAAGCTAGTCAAACAGTTTTAATAAAAGAAGAGGACATCCAAAGTGATAACTTCAAACCACAGATTGCTGAACAGGAAGAAAACAAGCAAATGTTGGTTCCAGAACGGGAGGCACAAAAAGATATATCTTCCATAGTCGTTGCGCAGCCAACAGAGAAACCAAGAGCAGCGGATGGTGTTGTTACATTAAGTTCTGGTTGGGATGAGGAAGATGAGACGGATGTACCTTCTGTCACAGCTAAACCCAAAGTGGATAAGCACAAACCCGCCCCGGCACCACAGAGGTTAAAGTTCAAGTATGTCCCCCTCTGGGAGATGGAGGAAACTGAGAAGAGACCTGTCATTGAGGTGAGCGCACAAAAACCACAGAGCACCATCAGCCTCGCCCTTGATTATGGCAGTGGCAGCTCAGATTATGAAGATGAGAATGGTTCGCCGGTCAAGAGGAAGTCACCGGCCCGGTCATCTGAGAAGACACCGGTCAAACTGGCAGGTTTTGAAACTTGTGAAGTCGCAGAGATTGGGGTCAACAAGTCAGGGGAGACTGATGTGGACGCCTATGTTATAGCTGGGGAGAAAAGTTTAATTCCAGAGCATGCTTCAAATGTCGAGGCAACTGAAGAAATGCCCCGTTCTGATTCTGGTTCCACAGTCGAGACATTCACTGATCATCGACAAGGGAGATCAAGGTCATCGAATCTACAAGATGAGTCCAAAATGTCACAGCCAAATGATAAGTCTAAGATATCTCTACAAGATAATTTGGACATAACATCACTACCAGATAAGTCAAACATATCTTCTCTTCAAGATAAGACCAAGATATCATCTCTCCAAGATACGTTTGAGATATTAGCTAAGCAAGATAAGTCGGAGAGATCCACTCTGCAAGATAAGTCAGAGAGATCCACTCTGCAAGATCAGTCAGAGAGATCCACTCTGCAAGATAAGTCAGAGAAATCCACTCTGCAAGATAAGTCAGTTGTATTATCTCACCAAGTTAGTTCAGAGACATCTTCTTGTGAGAAAGTCTTGTCACCACAAGTGGAAGATCAAGAAGCCTACTCTCCATCTCACCCGTCCCTAGAGGATGCTGATGACTCAACAGACCTGCCCGCCATTATTCCATACTCCGCAGCAAGCAAGCACAAGACCGAGAACACAGAATCGGGACATGGTCAGGCTGATGCTGTGACATCAGGGACGACCGGTATCCTTTTCCCGGCATCATCCATTATAACTACGTTCACTCCTTCAGTCAATGTGTTGCCCGTGGACTCATCTGTCATCAGCACGCCATATTCCGTCAGTGCCTCACGGCCTGTTTCGGCTCTGGTTGGGGGGACACCGTCTAAGGATCTGCCTTATGTTACATATCCTCATATTCCACTTCCGTTAGTTGCATCTCCTCACAGTTCTGGCATTATTCAACCAGTCCAGCCACCATCAATACTGTTACCTTCCTTGGATGCATCAAAGGTAGTATTACCTTCTGTGGGTGTTGCCCCAGTGCAGCTGCCTGGTGTTGTCCCAGTGCCACCACCCACTGTTGCCCCAGTGCCGCCGCCTTCTGTTGCCCCAGTGCCGCCATCTACTGCTACATTGGTGACATCAAGCCCCATAGCCCCAATTCAAGCTGGAGTTCCATCGGCGGGCCTGTTGCCAGTAACATACCCAACTCTGCCTTTCCCTGGGTCGGCCCCAAAACCAGTTCCACCTCCGCAGTTTTTGGTCCAGCCACCTGTACCGTCATCCCAGCCTGTGGGTTCACAACATTCGACCGGGTTGGTCTCATCTGTGGGTAGGCAATCAGCTTCTCAGGCTATGTCGGGCCTTCAAGGAATACCTTTACCTGGAATGGTCATGCCTCCTCTGAAAGCATTCCAACCTGTGCCACCACCTGGTGTTACAGGCGTACTGCCTGTGCCACTTCCTGCCATTACGGGCGTACTGCCTGTGCCACTTCCTGCCATTACGGGCGTACTGCCTGTGCCACCCCCTGCCATTGCAGTAGCACAGCCACCTGTTACTGCAGGCATACAACCACAATTAATCACTTCCTTTCCAGTTTTGACTTCACCCTTGTTGGCCCAAACTACACCCTTGTTGGCCCAAACTACACCAACCAATGGTCCTGAACTGACCAGTGATCCGTCCTTGACCCAGCAACCACCTGTCAAGTTCAGAATCAACCGTTTTCATCAAGGACCTGCAGGAGTTGTTCCTCAGGTTATTCCCCCTCCCACAGTGTCCATCCCAACACTCTCTGTGGCAACAGGACTGGCTAGTGAGCTGTCATCTCAGGCAATCTTGACAACTTCCTACCCCTCTATTTCAGTCAAGTCCTTGGCCCACGCCTCGCCCACCTCTACTGCAGTCAAACCTCGGCCGATGCAGAAACTAACTAAAGAAAATGACCACACAGCTGGTGGCGCTCCCTCAAAACGACCAAAAATATCCTCCATCTTGTCCCAGCCAAAAATAGAGGATCCTAAACTACTGGAAATGTTGGTTAAGAGTGACTCAGAAATCAAATCTTTGACTGGTTCGCTAACCTTGGCAATGGGCTTACCCGAAACACTGACTCGAGATATCCAGAAGGCAACACATCACTCTAAGGGGGACTCTCAGCTATCAGACCTCCCCAAGAACAATTTAGAGCAGCAGTCTGAAAGCACCAGCCCTAAATCACATGTAGTTAAAGAATATGATTCTAATGAGAAGACCTCAAGTCCTTCTGCTCAAGAAAATGTTTGCCCTCCCCCACAAGCAGCAGTAGATGGAAAAGAGAACTCTGGATTTCCAGATGTTCCGGCTCCTGAGAAGCCAATGGACAAGACTCTGCTTTTTGCTGAAAATATTGATTTTGACATGGATAGTATACCTTTACCTGCGGGCCCACCGCTCCCAGTTTCTGTTGTCGCCTTGTTAGACCCCAAGCTTGTTGATGTCGGCCAGGGGATCTCCTTACCACGGGAGCCGCCTATCCCAAAGCCAGCAACTCATCTCCCGACTCAAACTGACATCCCGCCAACGCCAACGATGCAACCACCCACGCCAACGACGCAGCCACCCACGCCAACGACGCAGCCACCCACGCCAATGACGCAGCCACTCACAGCACAGCCACCCATGCCAAATGGTGAAGTGCAGACTCAGCCACCATTGCCTCCACCGCCGTCAGTCATCACAGACTCAAGTCCTCTTCCGCCTCTGCCCCCATCTCCGATGTCACCTAAAAGTCAAACCCTGGGGTCATTGCTGGCAGAGAGAAAGAAACGTTTCTCCCAGTCCCCTCTGGCCATCGGCATGCTGCCCAAAGTGCCACTCACCCAATCTCCCCTGGCCATAGGTCCCTTGCCCAAGCTCCCTCCGGAGCCAGAGATCTCTCCGGCAGACGGTGACATCAGCTCAAAGAAAAGTGTCCTCATGCAAGACATAAAGAAAGCCCTCATTACGACAGATGCAAGGAAAGGAGTGGAAACAAAAACTAAAGAACCCTTGCAACTTGTCACCGGTGCCAGGCCAAAAATTGCCACAGATAAGGAAGAACCAAAATCCAGCGTCCCAGGTTTGTCAAAAATACACATAGTCCTTAAAAGCAAATCTGCGGTCCAGAGAACATTGGTCAGAGGCTTTGAAGATGAGGAGGGCAGTGACAGTGATAATGTTTCAGAGGAGCCACGCCTGGAGCCATTACCAGATGCGGAGAGTGGCATCTTTTCAACCTTTGCTGGGGATAAAGATGAGCCTTTACCCCCGTCGCCCTACGCGGGTGGCGAAGGAGTGCTGAAGGAGGAAGCCTTGTCCAAGCAAGGGCAGGTGAGGTCTAAGTTTGTGGCCCTGTCTGACATTGAGGCCTTTCCAGTACAGGTGATCACAAGCTCTAGAAAAGAGGAGGACACGCCCGCTTCCTCATGGCCAGAGTTTACAGTTGGAAAGAGGAGAGAGGAGGACGGAGGGAAAGATGAGAAAAGGAAAGCTGGCAAATCTGATGGAAGAGAGAGAGATAGAAAAAAAGAAAGGAGGAACAGCATGGAAGACGACAGGACTCCTACAAGGGATGAACATAGGAAGAAAATTGGGGATGACGAGGAGGAACGAAGAGAGAGCAGACGCAAGAGGGATGATGATAGTGGTAAAAGGAGGGAGGGTGACTATGAGGAGAGTGGGGGCAGGAAGCAGGTGAAAAAAGAAAAAGAGGATGAAGGCTATAATGATAGACGGGATGATCGTCGATCCAGCCGGGGAGATGACAGACAAAGGGGACGTTACGATGACAGAGGTGATGACAGCTACAGCAGAAGAAGAAAAAAAGATGACGACGAAGATTACGGAAAGAGGAGAGGAAAGGATGACGGCAGGAGGAGGAGCCGTGGGGATAAAGATGACGACCGCAAAAGAAGTAAATATGATGACAGCCGAAGTGGCAACAAATATTCAGAAAGAGACAGAAGCAGAGAGAGGAGCAGAGACAGAAGCCCTGACAGAGAGAAGGGCAAGAGGTCATTTGGGAAAAGAAACAAGAGGAGCAGGGAGAGAAGTCGGAGCAGGAGCCCACCCAGGAAGAGGGATCGAGAGCGCAGTCGAGATGGCTATGATCGGAGAGAGAGGGACAAGAGTCGTAGTAGAAGTGACAGCAGGGAAAGGAAACCAAGGGATGGCAGAAATTTCTCTTCCAAGAAGAAAGATTCAAGGTCATTCAAAGAGGATTTTTTAGATGAATATTCAAAGTCTTCTAGTTCTGTAGATGTGCAGGAGGATATTTTCAAAGTGACGACCATTGGTTCCTCATACGGTCCGAGTTATCCACAGGATCCTGGACATTACACAGCAGATCCCAACTACCCCAGTGTAACTGACCAGTCTTTGTATTCAGCACCGCAGCCCACCAGTGTGGATGTGCAGGCTGCATATTCAGACCCAAGCTATGGTGGCCAGTACCCTCCATCATATGAACATCAGCAGTATGGCCCCGCTTGGCAAGGTCAGCAAGGTCATGATGTCTACGCCCAGGACATGACGGGTCAGTACCAGGATGTGGCGGGTCAGTACCAGCCCCAGGCTCCGGACCATTCAGCTCCTCCGCCTCATCAGTATCCATTCCACCAGCCACAGCATCAACATTATCCCCAACAACCCGTCTATCATGCGGGCCCCTATCACCTTCCGCCTAGTATGCCACCACAGCAGTTACCACTGCCTCATCTGCAACAACCTGGTGGAGTGCAGCCACCGCACATTCCACTGGACCAAAATGCACAGAGTGGAACAGGGCACTTCATATCCACCCAGCAACACATCCCATCTTACAACCATTCAGCCCCACCTCCCACTCATCTTCAACCACAACCTTCAGCCCACTTCGGACATTCAGATTCACAATTTCATCTGCATTCGGGGGCCATCAGAGGACCGATTCTGCCACCCCCAAGAACACCCTTGTTGCAAACTCCTTCAATTCCACGCAATGTCATGGAGACACCTTCCAACTTTGGAAGCCCGAGATTTACCTCACCTGACATCAGGTCATCTCCTGGTTTTTTGAAACAAACTGAAGTCAAAGCGGTCAGGAAGTCAAGATTCAGTCCAGCAGACCCATTATCTCTTAAAGCCGTCGTTTCCACATCAATTGACTTGCAGGTGTCTGGTCCAAGCACTGCCAGTGCAGGTGTGGCCGATACCTTGCAGAGAAAGCCATTTGTTCCAGAACCTTCCTTTGAGACCTCCTCTCTGGCAGAAGTTGAGTTTGACACCACTGAGAAACAGGACGGGAGAGCCAAGTCCAGAAAGAAACCTACTTCAGCCATGGCTGAGGATGTCAATGAGCCAACAGTGTCCTCATCTGGTGTGGAGGACACGGCCGGCGACACAGGAAGTGATTCAGGCACAGAGTCCTCACAGAAACCATTAAAGGTTAGCCAATTATTTTTAAAACAATGTTTTAACAGTAACAGTACCGTATTATGGTAATCAAAATATTTATTTATAGGGTAGTGGTACCAGTATCTTGATATTAAACACCCGGTACCGTACAATAAATTATGGATATATTTTTAGACTTCATTTGAAACTATTGATAGAAACCTTTGTACCGGTACCATAGGCAATGGATAGTCTATCAAATATGTCATTTGGTTGTATATAAATGACAAATGAATCCGATAATGGGAAGGTTGTAGCATTAAATTTTAATAACCAATAATGGGGGCCTCTAAAACTTTGAGGGTTTGCTTCTACGACCCAGTCAGCCCCCCCTATTTCTCATTTTTGTTGTTTCTGGTGGGAAAAATCTTTTGGGAATTTCAAAATGGCACTGTTTCTTTAAGAAAAATAATTGTTCAATAAGACTAGACATCATTCTATTACCGGTTCTAAAATAATTGTTCAATAAGACTAGCCATCATTCTAATACCAGTACTAAAATAATTGTTCAATAAGACTAGCCATCATTCTAATACCAGTACCAAAATAATTGTTCAATAAGACTAGCCATCATTCTAATACCGGTACTAAAATAATTGTTCAATAAGACTAGCCATCATTCTAATACCGGTACTAAAATAATTGTTCAATAAGACTAGCCATCATCCTAATACCGGTACTAATCAACATTATATTTGATCCCTGCAGTTGTTTGTTTTGGTGATCATACCCTATAAAGATGTTTAGAATAAAGGTGTGAAAATGATTCAAGTTCAGGGAATTCCCTAAAACCATCTAAGTGTATGCAAAACTGCATTTCAAAAGCATCTTTTCCTGAAGGGTTGGAAGAATGGCTTTTATTTTGCTCTAACTCTAATACATTGTGCCCTTCCTGTAACACATAATTATAAAATTATAAGGGCACATTATAATGCTGTGCCCTTCCTGAATAATATAATTATAGAATAATAAGGGCACTTTATAATGCTATTCAGAAGAAAAATAAAAGTAAGTATTTGGGCTAGCAGACTTATCTTAATTCAGTTTTACTTTATTGATTCTCTTTTGCTTTCTTACTTTATTGATTCTCTTTTCCTTTCTTACTTTATTGAATCTCTTTTGCTTTCTTACTTTATTGATTCTCTTTTCCTTTCTTACTTTATTGAATCTCTTTTGCTTTCTTACTTTATTGATTCTCTTTTGCTTTCTTACTTTATTGATTCTCTTTTGCTTTCTTACTTTATTGATTCTCTTTTCCTTTCTTACTTTATTGAATCTCTTTTCCTTTCGTACTTTATTGATTCTCTTTTGCTTTCTTACTTTATTGATTCTCTTTTCCATTCTTACTTTATTGAATCTCTTTTGCTTTCTTACTTTATTGATTCTCTTTTGCTTTCTTACTTTATTGAATCTCTTTTGCTTTCTTACTTTATTGATTCTCTTTTGCTTTCTTACTTTATTGATTCTCTTTTGCTTTCTTACTTTATTGATTCTCTTTTCCTTTCTTACTTTATTGATTCTCTTTTGCTTTCTTACTTTATTGAATCTCTTTTGCTTTCTTACTTTATTGATTCTCTTTTCCTTTCTTACTTTATTGAATCTCTTTTGCTTTCTTACTTTATTGAATCTCTTTTGCTTTCTTACTTTATTGAATCTCTTTTCCTTTCTTACTTTATTGAATCTCTTTTGCTTTCTTACTTTATTGAATCTCTTTTGCTTTCTTACTTTATTGATTCTCTTTTGCTTTCTTACTTTATTGATTCTCTTTTCCTTTCTTACTTTATTGAATCTCTTTTGCTTTCTTACTTTATTGATTCTCTTTTCCTTTCTTACTTTATTGAATCTCTTTTGCTTTCTTACTTTATTGAATCTCTTTTGCTTTCTTACTTTATTGATTCTCTTTTGCTTTCTTACTTTATTGATTCTCTTTTGCTTTCTTACTTTATTGAATCTCTTTTGCTTTCTTACTTTATTGATTCTCTTTTGCTTTCTTACTTTATTGATTCTCTTTTGCTTTCTTACTTTATTGATTCTCTTTTGCTTTCTTACTTTATTGATTCTCTTTTGCTTTCTTACTTTATTGATTCTCTTTTCCTTTCTTACTTTATTGAATCTCTTTTCCTTTCTTACTTTATTGAATCTCTTTTGCTTTCTTACTTTATTGAATCTCTTTTGCTTTCTTACTTTATTGAATCTCTTTTGCTTTCTTACTTTATTGATTCTCTTTTTCTTTCTTACTTTATTGATTCTCTTTTCCTTTCTTACTTTATTGATTCTCTTTTGCTTTCTTACTTTATTGAATCTCTTTTGCTTTCTTACTTTATTGATTCTCTTTTGCTTTCTTACTTTATTGATTCTCTTTTGCTTTCTTACTTTATTGATTCTCTTTTGCTTTCTTACTTTATTGATTCTCTTTTGCTTTCTTACTTTATTGATTCTCTTTTCCTTTCTTACTTTATTGAATCTCTTTTCCTTTCTTACTTTATTGAATCTCTTTTGCTTTCTTACTTTATTGAATCTCTTTTGCTTTCTTACTTTATTGAATCTCTTTTGCTTTCTTACTTTATTGATTCTCTTTTTCTTTCTTACTTTATTGATTCTCTTTTCCTTTCTTACTTTATTGATTCTCTTTTGCTTTCTTACTTTATTGAATCTCTTTTGCTTTCTTACTTTATTGATTCTCTTTTGCTTTCTTACTTTATTGATTCTCTTTTGCTTTCTTACTTTATTGATTCTCTTTTGCTTTCTTACTTTATTGAATCTCTTTTGCTTTCTTACTTTATTGATTCTCTTTTCCTTTCTTACTTTATTGATTCTCTTTTGCTTTCTTACTTTATTGAATCTCTTTTGCTTTCTTACTTTATTGATTCTCTTTTCCTTTCTTACTTTATTGATTCTCTTTTCCTTTCTTACTTTATTGAATCTCTTTTCCTTTCTTACTTTATTGAATCTCTTTTCCTTTCTTACTTTATTGATTCTCTTTTCCTTTCTTACTTTATTGAATCTCTTTTGCTTTCTTACTTTATTGATTCTCTTTTGCTTTCTTACTTTATTGAATCTCTTTTGCTTTCTTACTTTATTGAATCTCTTTTGCTTTCTTACTTTATTGAATCTCTTTTGCTTTCTTACTTTATTGATTCTCTTTTGCTTTCTTACTTTATTGATTCTCTTTTCCTTTATGGAATCTCTTTTGCTGTCTGAGGATTTAATTGTGCATCTCTGGTAATTTCTGATTTATTTCAGACAACCAGGGTTCCCTTAAAGCAGCGGTTCTCAAACTGTTGGCCGTGACCCCTATGGGGGTCAAACGACCCTAACACATGGGTCGTCTAATACCATTGGAAAACATATATATGAAGTAGCAACGCAAATAATTTGATGGTTGGGGGTCACGACAACATGAGGAACTGTATGAAGGGTCGGGGCATTAGGAAGGTTGAGAACCACTGCCTTAAAGCAAAGCTCCAAATAATAGACACAAAAGCCTTAAGTTAATCCGTGTGAGATCACGTCAGTCCCTCACATTCAATTCAAGCTTTAATATTATTTAATGGTTCAATGTAAGTTTGTGAAATCTCTTGTTTCAGGTGAAGTCCAGATGGAGGCGCAACAGTGAAGCTGAGGCAGTTGTTGACACCTCAACACCCCCGCAGACCTCTGCCCCAACCCCTGCCCTAACAGTCGGGCTCTCCGGCCAGCAGGGATCCACCTCAAGCCCCACCCTTGAATCCTCCCCTAAAGAAATGAGGCGGACCCGGTCAAGGGCGGCAGCAGAAGAGCTGGGCGGCGGCACCCCATCCATTGAGACCCCACCTCCACCTCCCCCACTGCGAAAACGAATCAAGCTGGATATGGCTGGTGCAGAAGACAAGGTTTTCATTTGATTTTCATATTTAAAATATATAACAGCAAATGGGTCTGCTTTGTCTTAAAATAGAGTTAATTCATTGAGTTATATACCCAAATCCCTTTGTCTTAACCCTTTACAGTCCAAACCTATTCAGCCTTGTCTACTCCCAGCGCCCAAGCAAAGGGACATAACTCCATTTTAAATGAAGGTTCTTTATCTAATTAATTTACAGAAAATAAACTAGAAGCAACAAAATAAAATAAAAACTACCTAAATACAAAGAAATGATTAAAGCAAAAGTTAAACCTAAAAATAGTTTCAGAGACCCTCCCACTCATGAAATAGTGAAGCTTCATTAGGCCTAAGTTCTTTCAAAAGTGTATCCAAGGCTTAGATAGCCATTTTTTACAGCGAAAAAATCGCGACTTTTAAAAAAATCTTAGAAAATCAGCCCCTAAACACACCGCGGTCAAACTAGTATCGAAATAAATGCCGACAACGAGGCTTTCTTCCGGTAGAACTATAAATAGTAATGCGCAATGGATTTCCGCTGTGCTAAGAACGAAAGTAAACACCTCGAAACGGGCGGGTTCGGCCGCATCGGACTGTAGGCTTAAGGAAAAAATCGGCGCATTTCGGGCGCATCGGACTGTAAAGGGTTAAAATAGAGTAATTTCATTGAGTTATATACCCAAATCCCTTTGTCTTAAAATAGAGTTAATTCATTTAGTTATATACACAAATACCTTTTTAAAAAAATGTCAGACCCTAACTGGCAGCCAAAAGGTGCCACAATGGATTCAGTAAAAACCCTCTCAGATTTTGCACATAAAAAAAGACAATAATTGACCATGTAGTAATCCTAAAAAAAAAGCTCCTCTTGTTTGTTGTATTCATGCAGCGTTGATGAATGCATTTTGGTGGGTCAGTGGAGGAGCTCTGGCTTGTAACATTGAATTAAGCAACAGAAAGGATCGTTTGAGAGAATTAGAAAATTATAAGACTTAATAAATAAACTAAAGCTTTTAATAAAAAACTGAATTTGCTTGACCAAAAATGAAAACCTTTAAATGGAAATAAGCTAAGTTTATGATAAACAATGCAATTTTAAGCTCACATGCATACAAGTGACATTGAATGCATGTCGTAATTGGTGCAAGCTGAATTGTTGAAAATGAATTCTCTTATCTTCATAAAATCACAGGCTGATGAAGACAGCAGATCTGATGAGGATGTTGGCAATGAGGGGGAGTCTCCACAAGATCTGGCAAGCATCATAAAGCGTCCAGATTTTCCTAGATTTGAGATCATACTGGAAAATATTCATCTAACTGAGAGGTATGTTTTCTAAAAATACAGGTATTAAAAAAAATGTGCTCCTTGGATATTGCAAAAATTTATAAAAAAATGTGCTCCTTGGATATTGCAAAAATTTATAAAAAAATGTGCTCCTTGGATATTGCAAAAATTTATAAAAAATTTGCACCTTGGATAGTGCAAAAATGTATACTTCCATGATTCCTTATGTACTTTTTAAGATATCAAATATCTACTTCTATATTCTGTCTCATTAGGAATTTAATGTTTGCTGCCACTACTAAGAGTTTTCTAAGGAAAAAAATGTTAGTTAATTTTCCTCCCACCCTTTGTCCTATTTGTTGGCCTGACTTGAACCGTCACTGTTTGTTCAATCGCCTGACTTGAATCGTCACTGTCCAAATCACCTGACTTGAACCGTCACTGTTTGTTCAATCGCCTGACTTGAACTGTCACTGTTTGTCCAATCTCAGGAAACGCTCAAAAAGTATGAAACGTATGCTCTGTGATTGCACAACATCACGGGAGGACAGGGCCATGGGGATTGAAGCTTGTGGCTCAGATTGTCTCAACAGAATGCTGATGATTGAATGGTAAACACTCAATGTCTTATTTATACAAGTCTGCTATCACTAGCTGGGTGTGTATTGTTCAATTTGTGCATAAAACGCAATGCAGAACAAACCCATTGTCTGTTGAAAATTTAGTAGACTGATTTTTTATTAAATTTATATATACTTACAAAAAAGTAAAAATTAAATATGATTTAATTAAAAAAACAACAATCAAGTTACAAAAATAACCATGTAAAAAGGAACGCATTGATTTTCAATATACTGTAATTTTCTTTCCCCAGTGGAGCTCGATGCCCTTGTGGAGAATATTGTACAAATCGACGATTCCAGAAAAAGATTTATTCCAAGACGCTGCCTTTCTCGGCCGGTGATAAGGGGTGGGGACTCCGTGCTGAGGAAGACATGGAAGAAAAGTAGGAATTCCTAACGCTTGTACAACAGCAGGGTTCCTAGTTGGGTTTTAGAATATGTTTAATGCTGGATTCTAAATGGATAGTTCTTAGAATTTCTTTCAAGTGGATAGAATCTTCACCTACTTGTGAGACCTATGAGACAGTGCACTAAGTTCTGTAGGATTGGTTTATAGCTTTTAACAAATGTGAATATTATTCGACTAGTCTTTGAAATGACAAGTAATATTAACTCATTTTAGAGTTAGACATTTTTGGGTTAATTAGACATTTTTGGGTTTTTGTTTAAAAAAATTACGTTGTATTATTTTATTAAGTTCAATTTTTACCATATGAGTTAAAAGAATGATAAATTTATGTAAAGCCCTTTTAAATTGACTATATATCTAGGCATTAAAAATGCTTTTGTTCAAGTGTGGGGTTGATAAAAATGTTTGTAAAAAAATTACAACTTGCCCCTTTTTTTTTCAGAGGGACTTTCATTATGGAATATGTGGGTGAGCTCCTGGACTACGAAGAGTTTGTACGTCGCACAAAGCAGTACTCCAAAGCTGGCCTGAAGCACCACTACTTCATGGCACTGAATGCTGACGAGGTGGTCGATGCCACGCTCAGGGGAAACATCTCACGATTTATCAACCACAGCTGTGACCCGAACTGTGAGACTCAGAAGGTATGTTCCCAGTGATCTTGTATTGAAGGTATGTTCCCATTGCTCTTGTACTGAAGGTATGTTCCCATTGCTCTTGTGCTGAATGTATGTTCCCATTGCTCTTGTACTGAAGGTATGTTCCCATTGCTCTTGTGCTGAATGTATGTTCCCATTGCTCTTGTACTAAAGGTATGTTCCCATTGCTCTTGTACTGAAGGTATGTTCCCATTGCTCTTGTAATGAAGGTATATGTTCCCATTTCTATTGTATTGAAGCTTGATGAACTGTGCTGAATAATACATGTGTGTGATAGAGGTCCCAGATAATGTCTTTCCCATTGGTTATCATGGGATCACCTGTATGGTGTCTAGATGGTGCTATCTGAAGGTGCCTTTATTCATTAGGGAGGGACCAAGGGACATTTGAAAAGCTTATCCGAGGGATTCTTCAAGTTTCTGGGAATCCCAATATTTCTCAGGACTCACAATTGCTTCATCTAAAAAACAATTTATAATTTAGTAAATAATTCTGCTCTTCTTCTTCTTATATTTAAGGGGTCCATGATCAATTTGTTGATCATTCTGGCTCCTGGTTTAAATTCAGAGTTTGCCCTCTCTTAGATGGGTTGCCGTCCAAGGCTAACGGGTCCCATCCACCCGGGGTGCTTGGCATGTTGGCTTTGGTGGGGATTGAACTCCAGACCACCAGCTATTTGGTTTGAGAGAGTTTAGACTGCTCGGCCACTCAATTACTTTGCCTTGCTATGTTTTTTTAACTATTTGTTCTAAAGAATGATTTAAACAATATCATTTATATACTTCAGTCAAATTGCAGGATATAGAAATTGTATGTGATATTCGGGACATATTAAGATAGCTACCATTTTTCTGTTTGAACCTGACAATTATTCATTTTTATTTTCAGTGGACAGTTAATGGTGAACTGAGAGTTGGATTTTTCACAAGAAAAGAAATCAAGAAAGGGGAAGAACTCACATTTGACTACCAGTTTGAGCATTATGGGTAGGAAAAAAATAGCTGTAACCTTCTTGGCTTTTACTAAATTAGCATTATAGTTGATACACTTAAGTTGAAATGAGGAATAGGTCTTCCATGGTTGGTTAACTGCTCTAGCCAACATGCTCTTAGTTAGGATGAGGCAGGTGAGTTGCTTGTCAAATCTGAGGTGCTTACCATTGGTCTAGAGAAAGGCTAGCCAACCAAAAAAGACATCTAGCGAGTAAACCGTTGGTGGCCTGCATGGCATTACACCTCATTTCAAGATTACAATAAACACCACTAAATGCTATAGAGAAATTTTTCAGTCTTCTTAATGCTCACATTGAAATCCTAAATAACAACTGTTTACATCTTCTTAATGCACACAATGAAATCCTAAATAACAAATGTTTACATCTTCTTAATGCACACATTGAAATCCTAAATAACAAATGTTTACATCTTCTTAATGCACACATTGAAATCCTAAATAACAAATGTTTACATCTTCTTAATGCACACAATGAAATCCTAAATAACAAATGTTTACATCTTCTTAATGCACACAATGAAATCCTAAATAACAAATGTTTACATCTTCTTAATGCACACAATGAAATCCTAAATAACAACTGTTTACATCTTCTTAATGCACACAATGAAATCCAAAATAACCAAACAGAATTAAACTTGGCTCAAATGACATTATTTTATCTTATAACTCGCTCATCTTTTAAAATGGTTTTCTTTGTCAATTGAATGAAGGACTAAGTTTATTGTGATAAATCGGGCAACCATGGCAGCAATATTTAATGTGGTGATCCTGCAGGCCAAGGGTTGACCACCCCTGGTCTTGAGTTTATTAATTAAAATTTTTTTTTTTGAAATTTCATTTAACACACTTAAGATTTCTTTTACTAAGTATAATTGTCACATATATGTCTCATAATAGTATAAACATAAGTAGTTTAACCTCAATAATGGCTACCAGACTTTGGCAATAAAAACACTCCTTGACCTTTCCTTTCCTTTTTATCACCAGGGAACCGCAAAAATGCTACTGCGGGGCAGATAACTGCCGGGGGTACATTGGTCTGGTCAAGTCTCCTACAAAAAATAACAAGAGGAAGGAGAGAAAGAAGAGAGAAATCTTCAAGGATGAATTGGTAAGCTGGGAAAACCAACAAAAGTTTGTGTATTCTGGCGAGGGTTAGGTTAGGGTTAGGGGAAGGCAATGAAGTAAGTAAATCAAGTTTTTAGGATCTCCTTTGATTGGACATGATCATGTTGGGTTAGGGTTAGGATTAGGGTTAGGGGAAGGCAATGAAGTAAGTAAATCAAGTTTTTAGGATCTCCTTTGATTGGACACGATCATGATGGGTTAGGGTTAGGGGAAGGCAATGAAGTAAGTAAATCAAGTATTTAGGATCTACTTTGATTGGACACGATCATGTTGTTTTCAGTAATTTTATTGTTAGAAAAGTTTTCTACAGCGGGCGCTCATTATTCCTCATCAATCCGTTATGGAGGGAAGGACGACCATCAAACACATTTTTTACATAGGAATTAACTAAAAATGGTCTAATCCATTCCCAGACTCATAGTGCGCCTATCTTCTATTTATTTAAAAAAATTACTGTTACTTAATGCTTTAGTTATGTATTAACCACCGGTTATTGATGCTTTAGTTATATATCAACCACCGGTTATTGATGCTTTAGTTATGTATCAACCACTGGTTATTGATGCTTGATCGCTATGACAGAGATTCACTCATTATTGTGGTGATACAATATACTTTAGGGCTACAGAAATACGTCAGTAAATTTTAATCAGAAATGGACCTTCATTTGAGGAACCCCTTCTCCCCTTCCTGGCTCCCAAACTACTAAAGCAAACCAACATAGATAGAAGTGCTCAATGTGTGCTCCCCACATCCCCAAGGTCCATTGCTCCCACAAGAGGCAGTGAAAAGAACTAGGATTGTTGCTAAGAGTTTTTATTTTATAGAGGTTAGGGGAGTAGTACAAAGTTTGCATCAATCAACGAGGGACTCAAAAAAAATTTTTTTTAAAAAATCTACAAATAAATAAAACGAACAAAGAAGCAAAACCTTTGGTACCAGAACACCATGGTCACACGAACACCATGGTCACATGTACACCATGATCACAAATTTCTTATAATGTACTTGCAAAAACTAGTAAATATTAAAAAGAAATAAGTAGTACTTTGAATCACCGCCCGACACTGATTGACTCACAGGGCATGTGGTACAAATATCACATTTTCTTGCAAATATCAAACAAAAATTTATATGAAAAAAACAGGAAGATAATATCTAAAAAAAACACGACTGTCGACATGGACGAATAATGAGGAATTCAAAAGCAAGTGGTGAAATAATGTTTAATAAATGGATGCACTAATATTTAATAGTTCAGATTTAAAATAACTTAACATGACGAGACGTTATAAAATGTCATAACTGTTTAATAAAAATTATCAGACATGTAGTAATTTGGTAATTTTAAAAATGTGTTGTTTTTACCTGTTTTGTTTCATTAAATTTGATACAGAAATTTAAACCTTCCAAAAATTCCTTTCTATAGTACAAGATCTTAGTATTTAAAAATTCTAGTATTTCCCATATTCTGCACCGGCCTAAGAATTGTTTAACCTAAAAAAAGTAACAATACTTATCAAAAATTGAAAACGGGACTTTTGTATTAAATGACAAAAAGGAGTGCAGTATTTTAAAAATAAACCTGTGACATATCACATGAATTAAAATGTTAATGAAGAAATTATAAATACATTTTTAAAATTTCGATCTTAACTTACAGGTCAATGGCTCCCCTGTTCTTGTAATCGCTTTTCCTCCCACCCTGAAATGCCACTCCCCCCCCCCCATTGGGAAACCCTGGTGTGGATGGTCTTAATTTCTTTTTAAAGGCTAAGAAATGTTTCAAGGTCAGACATTTGAACATTATATTTGAAAATCTCCTTTGACTGTATTATTTGTTTGTTTGTTTTGTAAGCTGGAAGAAGACATTGAGAAGCTGTCCATGTTGGACGGCATGAGGAACAAGAACCACGTTCTGGAGCTGTGTCGACTGATGGTCAGAGCAGAGAAAGTCCAGCACAGGATCGCTATACTCAAGATCTTACAGGTATGTCCTACACATGTATGACTGCACATGTTGTATGTCTGCACATGTTGTATGTCTGCACGTCTGCACATTTGGTAACTAATAAGGGTCACTTCATATGTTCTTAGCTATATAAATTGTATAAAAAAATAAAACAGTGCAGAATATATACATTATTGAATCATTTTGATTTTTAACATTTATTTTGCCCATTGAACTATAGAAACTCTTTTAGATTTTAAGACATATTTATGTTCTGTATATTTTGGTTTTTGATGTTAAGTTATTTTTATTGCAGTCAAGAGTTTTAACTATTTGTAAATAATTAGAAAACATATAAAAAATGATATAAAGTGAAAATGTTAAAATAATTATGTTTGTATTAGGAAAAAAACTGTTTAGAATATAAGGAAACTAATTTAACTAATATGTTAAAATGATAGAAATGCATGATGCCAGTGTTATGTACTTATTCCACATTTTCCTCTATCACCATGTCAACATTTAAGCATTACAAATTTCTGTTGACATCAAATTTCTCTAGACTGTTATCATTAAGCTAATTTGTTGTTTTTTTTGTTTGTGTAGGAGACCACTGAAACTGCCTGCCTCCGCCTGTTCCTGGACTACCACGGGCTTCCTCTATACTGGAGTTGGATGGCCGACATCGGCACAGCCGACTACTCTGAGGATACACAGGAGCTCAAGCTGCTGGTTTGCTGAATTTTCTTTTTCTGTAGTTTTTCTTTTGACTTGGAGTTCTAAGATTGAGACCTATGGATGCCAGTAAGGGTTTGGGGATGAGCTGCTGTAGAGGGGAGAAGATCTTGACAATCCTCTGTATCAAAATATAATAGAGAGAGATTTAAAGGCTTTTTACAGACTATCCATGAGTGCTATTATATCTCATGAATACCAACAGAGTGTCATGTTACATAATAATGTTTTTAAAAAAAAACCTTGCTATAGAATTTTTTTTGTTTTATTATTTTAATATCACATCCCTTTGGATTGAAATTAAAAATAATTATTGACCTCTGGAAAGCATCATGGATGTCTACAAGGAATGCCCTTCTTGGCTAAACTATCCAAATAACACAGAGAACAATGCACCTGTTCTTTACTTGAAAATCTTTTTATTTATATTATTTCATACAATTTTCAAATAATTTTGGTAAGTTGACCGATAGTTCAGTTTCAGATAAATGGATTCTTACAGTAAATTTTAATGGATAAAATTATTTTGAGATCAAAAGGCTGAGTTGGAGTCTTGAAATCCTTTAGGGAAACTACACTAAATAATAACATCCCACATTGCTCAGCTGATTGTCATTATTCTCTGATTATTCATTTTATTTTACCCTCATTAATCTCTGATTATTCATTTTATTTTACCCTCATTAATCTCTGATTATTGAATTTAGTTTCTTAAAAATGTTGTCCCGACAGATGTTGTCTGTGTTGAAATGTCTCCCCATCACCAATAGAACAGTGCTGAAAGAGAGCAAGATTCTTGACATTGTTGAACGTTGGGCTGTGGCCGCAGTGGCAGCGGCCAGGAAACCACCACCACCTCCACCCCCTACATCAACAACTACATCCATCCCCTCACTCCCGCAACCCATGGCCGACTCGGCGGACGTCGCGCCAGAGGTTGTTTTGGGCGACAACGAGGCTGATGCCACCTTTGAAACTGCCGCTTCTGGAGCCGCCGCGGAACCAGAGCCCTCGGCATCGTCCTCTGAGACCACTCCCCCATCCTCACCGACCCCACCGCCACCCATCCCCATCAGCAATGTGACCCCTGTGTCTATTCTGGCTTCAGCCAAAGAGACAAAAGAGGCCAAGCAGAAGAGACGTGTGACCTTTGCTGAGGTTCATGTTGAGACAGCATTTTCACCAGAGCCAGATGAAGACATGGAGGAGAATGATGATATTTCATCCTCAACTCAATACAGTGAGGAAAGCCGAGGTGAGGCTTATACTATAGTTTAGATTTATGATTTTTTAAAGATAGTTATCCTGGAGTAATATTAAAGGAATGGAAAATTAATTTTTTAAAAAAGTTGAAGTCAAATCTTATGAAACTGAAGTAACTGTACTGTAATGTTGTATTAAAGAAGTCAGTAAATTTTTTAAAAACAGATGAAGCCATGTCTCAAGAAGGTGTAAGTCTTCTTAAATCAGAGTTACCGGGGGAAGCCACTCCGATTGGAAACAGGAATATCGGGGCGCTGGATCTCGACCTGTCGAGTAACGCTGCAGACTCAACAAGTCAGAAGGATGCCTTTGACAGCAGCGGTGGGGATTGCACGGGGCTGAGCAGTGACACTGACAACTCTGACACTGAGTCTGTGATAAAAGATCCACTGGCGTCACTAGCTGCCGAGTGCATGTCTCAGTGGAGCTCTCTTAAGGTTGGTGATATAAAGATATCAAGAGTATTAGTCTAGGGGACTTCTCATCTCAGAATTTTTTTAAAGTGGCTGCACATTTTCCTTTATATTGCCATTTCATTCTTTAGCCCGTGGGTGCCATTTGATTTAAAACCTGCTATTATTATGAACCCAGGAACTGGGCATGTTATGTTTCTGTACTGTGCGCGGAATTTTGAGCTTTTTGGGGGGCCTTTGAAAAGGGTTATTTTTCACATGCAAATACTATAGCTAGACCCCATAAAGTATATATTTATTGAAAGTAGACTGAGAGGGGCATTTTTTAATTACATTTTATACTCGCTGACCGTGACCTTGACCTTGGAGTGACCAAGAATAAAGAAAATAATGAACTTTTTTATTTTCAAGTACCTCAAACTACAATTTTTTAAAGGCATATTATTATAATGTTTATATAATATGATAAGATATTTATATATCTTTCAGAAAATTGATTACTTGTATATGTTATAGTTATTAATAGATTTTAAAAAAGAAACTCTTCTGATAACTATAATTATAATCTAGTACAAAGCACGACATTAACAATATAAACATTTCTAAATAGCAAGAAACAGATACAATTTTCAAAGCTGCAATATAAATATTTAATCCATAAAATTAATTATAACAAAATATATATAGAAACATATAAAATTATTTTTTGTTGGTACAAAATCATCTGCAACATATTTTTGAATGAGTCCTGTTATTGGGGCAACGCCTACTCGTTCTAGGCTTAGAGTCCAAACTTTCGCTTTCTGACCCACTAGAAAACTAATCGGAATTATCATTTTCTTTGTGTGTGATCAGAAAATCATCTTCCGAATCACTAAGTCATTAGCTAAAAAGAATTAACAGAAAGGTTCTGATTTATTTTGTAAGCCAGATGGTCCAGCTGTGTCCTCAGCCATTTCGCAAAAATCTACTTACACAAATTTGCTTGATAAAGATCGTTGAAAAAAATAACTCCAAAGTTTAAAAAAAGGACACAGAAAAGTGAAAAACGGAGAAAAGTGAAAAACGGAAAGGAAGTAGTTTTATTTTGTGTAAATTATTGGACTGGTACTTATTCTTTCAATGCAATTTTTATCGGCCGTCACAGTTTAGAAAGAGGAAATTGGCCGATTCGATCGGCCGACCACACTTTGTGGGTTAAAGTCTATGATTAAATATTTTTTAAAGCATTCTGCAGCCAAGATGTGCATCTTTTTCAGGAAGTTTTCAAGATCCCCAAGAAAGAAAGGGTTGAAGAGAGAAAGAGAACAGAGATGGAGCTAGGTGGGTAGTTCTTCTTTATGACCTTCATTTTTCATTCATTGCTTGATTTCATGACATTCTAAGGAGAGGCCATCAGCATTAAGGTCAAGATTAGTGGTTCCCAACCCTGCATGATGGCCCTAAATTTGGTCACTCATGATTATACAATGTTTATATCATGTATAGCAAAATGACAGATTGGGCTTAAAGTCACTAAGACTAAATGTTTGGGAAGTAATAAACCCGGTTATCACTGGAGACACCCAGTGGCTGGAGCACAAGTTCATTGATAGCCAGAAATGTGTCTTGAACTGGCTGTTGAAATGTGTCTGGAACTGGGTGTTGAAATGTGTCTTGAACTGGCTGTTGAAATGTGTCTGGAACTGGCTGTTGAAATGTATCTGGAACTGGGTGTTGAAATGTGTCTTGAACTGGCTGTTGAAATGTATCTTCAACTTGGTGTTGAAATGTGTCTTGAACTGGCTGTTGAAATGTATCTTCAACTTGGTGTTGAAATGTGTCTTGAACTGGCTGTTGAAATGTGTCTTGAATTTACCTATAAAACATGATTCTCAGCCTATTGTTGTTTTTTGGACTCAAATAGAGTAATGCATAGCTGATGTCTTTTGAAACAATCTTGCCTCCTTTTAGCATGGGTTGTTAGGAATCATATTGTCAAACAGATAGCATGGGTTGTTAGGCATCATATTGTCAAACAGATAGCATGGGTTGTTAGGCATCATATTGTCAAACAGATAGCATGGGTTGTTAGGCATCATATTGTCAAACAGATAGCATGGGTTGTTAGGCATTACATTGTCTTGTTGGGCATTATATTGTCTAAGAGATATGGGTTGTTGGGCATTATATTGTCTAAGAGATATGGGTTGTTGGGCATTATATTGTCTAAGAGATATGGGTTGTTGGGCATTATATTGTCTAAGCGCTAAGTTGCAATGTTCACGTTTTAATCACTAATTCTGTTACGCTACAACTATCTTTCAATGTCACAAGGTACAACATCTGTCACTGTTACACTGTACAAATATCTGTCTGGGCACACTGTAAATCTGTCATGGTCACACTGTGCAGCTATCTGTCATGGTCACACTGTGAAGCTATCTGTCATGGTCACACTGTGCAGCTATCTGTCATGGTCACACTCTGTCAGTCCACACTATAAAACTGTCTATCACGGTCACACTCTGTCAGTCCACACTGTAAAACTGTCTGTCACGGTCACCCTCTGTCAGTCCACACTGTACAATTGTCTATCACGGTCACACTCTGTCAGTCCACACGGTCACACTATTTCTCCAGCCTTTGACAGCTTTTTTGGGGGGGATTGCTTACCTATCTTGGTACTATTTGGTCCATGCTTTTATTGTTCAACATTTTGCCACTGAAAACTTGTAAGGAATTAAAAGAAGACTTTACTTAACATAACATCAGATAACAAACAATACAAGTTGAGAGCTCATGATATACACACTTTAATCTGTGTATGTTTGCAGTTGTTTGCTGCCTACCCCCCAAAGTGTTTGCAGTCATCCCATAATTCATTACTTTGATCTATAATCTCTGATCTTTTGGCCATGTGCCTAGTCATTCATTTGGCCATGTGCCTTAGTCATTCATTTGGCCATGTGCCTAGTCATTCATTTGGCCATATCCCTAGTCATTCATTTGGCCATGTGCCTTAGTCATTCATTTGGCATGTGCCTAGTCATTCATTTGCCCATGTGCCTTAGTCATTCATTTGGCCATGTGCCTAGTCATTCATTTGGCCATATGACTAGTCTTCATTTGGCCATATGCCTAGTCATTCATTTTCTGCATTTGCCTAGTCATTCATTTGGCATGTGCCTAGTCATTCATTTGGCATGTGCCTAGTCATTCATTTGGCATGTGCCTAGTCATTCATTTGGCCATGTGCCTAGTCATTCATTTGGCCATGTGCCTAGTCATTCATTTGGCATGTGCTTAGTCATTCATTTTCGCATGTGCCCTTTTGGCCTTTTGGTAATTTTAAATTAATAAAAAATTTAAATTTAATTAAATGTAAAGAAAAAAAAGTTAAAAAAATCCTTCTTTTCCCCCCCCCCCCCATGCAGAAATGGGTCTAACAGAATTAATTTAATATTTTACTTACAAGTTTTTGGGTTTCAAATATTTTTCAATACAATTTTCTTTTTAACGTTAACAATTGCTGATTGTTTTAGTTTTGTTGAACAAAAATTCCTGTTGGTTATGGTGATTAGTACCTCAATCCAGTTTGAGAATCATTTTTTTTTAATAGGAACTTTGTGTCACTAAACAATAAATAGGGCACCATTTGCTGTTAAATTCCTGCCAGCCAGTCCTTCATGTTGCAAAGTTTGAGAAGCACTTCTCTTGACCACATTTCTTCCTTCCACTTAAAAGTAAAAAAAGGCAATGTTCAATTTTATTCTCTCTTGTGCAGGAAGCCCAAAAACTGATGGTGAGATGAAGGATGTATTTTTTATGTGGAAACCTTTTACATTGAAGTTTTCTTAGCATTGAAAAGATTGCATTGAATTTTAAACCAACCAACTTACGTCCTGTCTTAGCTTTGTAGTCAACATTGCTAACCTTAGGGTGGGAGAGTTTTTTTAAAAGTTCTTTTTTAAAGTGTGATGCTTTTCTGTACAAATTAATGACCTTGACCTTGCCAGAATTATAAATTCCTGTGTCCATTTTGTTAATAATTTTTAAATTTTTTAATCAAGCTTTTAAAGATACAAAATTCTCTTTAAATTTCCAAACTTTTTGATACATATTTGTGTTTAAAACTTTGCAAGCTTCACTTTTAACATGCTGTTTAATTAGCCTGCTTCAGTATTAAAACTTAACACCGCTGTAATGACTGCCTTCTTTAGTACTTAATATGTGGACAATATTACTTAACAAAGTCCATTCATATACTTTTTTTCTCAACCCATTCAGTGTTATTTCAAACTTAGTGACATAATAATTTTGATTGAAGAAATTCATTAGAGTGCATTTATAAGTTTGAAGCCAAGATAAAATTTGTGAGATGATATCAGATGAAAGCTGACATGTAGCGGTCAAAATACAGTAGAAAACTAATGGGCACTTTTAAATGGGTACTTGATGACATAATGGGAGGTTACCAAATTACCCAATCCACAAATGTGCATCATCTCCCTTTATCCAATAACTCCCTGTGGTTCTGCACTCTTTAATGTAGATGGTATCTATTGGATGGCAAGTGACTTGATGTCCCTGACCCAGTTTATTGTCTTCTCTCACACAGATGTTTTGTCTAAAAAACAGCCTGAGACATCCGACCCGTACGCCAAATGGAAACGTGGGCGATCGAGAGCTTTTGTGAGAAAAAAATTGCCTGAGGATGAGGAAAGGTAAAGGACGACTTTCTTAAAATGGGACAACAACCTGGCCATTTTGTGGTCTGCTTTAGTTCTGCGTACATAAGAAGCCGCTTAGAAATGGTGTAATTACAGGAAGAACATGTTTTCCAAAAGTGAATAAATAAAGTTTAGAAATTTCAACATTGTCACTAACAAAATAGGAGACATAAGCATTTGCAGTAAACAAAGTTCATGAGATATTCATCATTTTTACCCGAAGATTGCATCTCAAGTTAATGGCTATTCATATTTTTTTTTACTGTCTACCATATTTTAAAAAAGTCTTTTATTTGCCAACAGTTTGGAGGTCTTTTCTTTGACCAATAGTTTTTGAGTTTGTGGACTCACCATTTGGTAACAGCAATACAAAGTATCAAGGATTTAAGTTTATTTGGCAGAAAATGTTTATTGAACATTATAAAAAGTACTAATTTTTATAAAAACATGAATTGCAGGAAATCCAATCTGCCGAGGATGACGAAAGAAGAGCGCAGGCAGCGATTCGAGGCCCGGGTGAAGGCGGAGGATGAGATGGCTGCTCAAGCGGCAGCAGAGGAGTACCAGCGGCAGCAGGAAGCTTACATACTCCACCAGCAGCGGCTGTTGGAGGACCCAACCTACTTCTACAACTACATGCAGCAACAAGGGGATTTTGCAGTTATGGATCCGAACATAATCGCTCAAGAGGGGATGATTGATCCTGTCACAGGTCAACCCATTCCTCCAGAGGTTCTCATCGACCCACAGACTGGACAGCATTTTATTGACCCCTCTGGTCAGCACATTATTGATCCTAATACGGGCCAGCCACTTGTTCATGTTGACCCCAATACAGGCCAGCCACTACTTCAAATTGACCCTAATACTGGACAGCCTTTATTACAAATTGACCCTAATACTGGACAACAGTTTCTTCAAATTGACCCCAACACTGGTCAGCCATTGTTGCAAATAGACCCAAACACTGGCCAGCCTTTGCTACAAATTGATCCAAATACTGGTCAGCATATGGTCCATCACCAGATTGACCCACAGACTGGACAGCCTATTGATCCACTTACGGGTCAGCCTATCCACCACATTGATCTTCACACTGGTCAGCCAATTGACCCTTCAACCGGTCAGCCCATTGACCCCTCAGCCGGTCAGCACATCCAACAATTAGTGCCTCATTCCGGGCAGCAGCAGGTAGCCACTCCGATGGACCAGCAGATGGTTCAGTCCATGGCTCATCACATTATAGACCCTCAGACTGTGCAGCCCATTTCTGATGACTCGATGGTCGACCCGCACACTGGACACCTTATAAAACATTCTGTCCTCAGCTACCCTGCTCAATCATTGCCCAATATCAGTCATCATCAGACAGAGTTCACTAGTCAGGTATTTCAAGAATTTTGTGCCGTCCACGACATGACATGTTTGGACTGCTACATTACAATTTGAATCAGCTTTTAGCACGTTGTCAGTTTGTTGGTTGTTTGGACTGCTACTTTACAATTTGAATCAGCTTTTAGCACGTTGTCAGTTTGTTGGTTGTTTGGACTGCTACTTAACAATTTGAATCAGCTTTTTATCACATTGTCAGTTTGTTGGTTGTTTGGACATCAGTTAGGCACAAGCTGATATTTACATCAGTTATAAACAAGCTGATATTTACATCAGTTATAAACAAGCTGATATTTACATCAGTTATAAACAAGCTGATATTTACATCAGTTATACACACGCTGATATTTACATCAGTTATAAACAAGCTGATATTTACATCAGTTATACACAAGCTGATATTTACATCAGTTATAAACAAGCTGATATTTACATCAGTTATACACAAGCTGATATTTACATCAGTTATAAACAAGCTGATATTTACATCAGTTATAAACAAGCTGATATTTACATCAGTTATAAACAAGCTGATATTTACATCAGTTATAAACAAGCTGATATTTACATCAGTTATAAACAAGCTGATATTTACATCAGTTATAAACAAGCTGATATTTACATCAGTTATAAACAAGCTGATATTTACATCAGTTATAAACAAGCTGATATTTACATCAGTTATAAACAAGCTGATATTTACATCAGTTATAAACAAGCTGATATTTACATCAGTTATAAACAAGCTGATATTTACATCAGTTATAAACAAGCTGATATTTACATCAGTTATAAACAAGCTGATATTTACATCAGTTATAAACAAGCTGATATTTACATCAGTTATAAACAAGCTGATATTTACATCAGTTATAAACAAGCTGATATTTACATCAGTTATAAACAAGCTGATATTTACATCAGTTATAAACAAGCTGATATTTACATCAGTTATAAACAAGCTGATATTTACATCAGTTATACACAAGCTGATATTTACATCAGTTATAAACAAGCTGATATTTACATCAGTTATAAACAAGCTGATATTTACATCAGTTATACACAAGCTGATATTTACATCAGTTATAAACAAGCTGATATTTACATCAGTTATACACAAGCTGATATTTACATCAGTTATACACAAGCTGATATTTACATCAGTTATAAACAAGCTGATATTACAAAAAGGATGCCAAAGAATAAATCAACAATTGATAATTTCAGAAACCTGATTTTTAATTTATGAACTATTTGCACGTTACTTGTCCCAGTGATCTGAAAGTCTGTTTCAGAAAAGTAACCTTGTTGCTTATGGGCTATCAGGGGCCAGTCTTCAAAAATGTGCTCTCTTCATGCCATATTTTTGTTGTTGTGGCTCTCAAAGACCTGATATACACCCCTGGGGAAAAGGAGGAGTCTTAATAAATTAAATCACGTGGTCATGGAAAGTTGTATTTGTTCTTAAAGTAAATTCATGCTTGTGATCCTTGCGAGAATTAACAGCTGATTTTCATTCCCAAATTTTCATCAGCCAAAGACGCAGCACATGCCAAAAACAGCTTCAAATATCAGCCTGTCTGAGCTGGACATGGAGGAGGAAGTGCCACCACCACCCTCACCCCCAACCATACCTGTGACAAAACTCCCGCCCAATTGGAAAACTGCCAAGGACAACGAGGGCAGAGTTTATTACTACCATGCATTTACCAGGTGGGTTTGGTCAACTATTTTTATAAGAAATACCTTCCTTTAAGATTTTTATACTTTGCTTCCATAGACCGAATATTCCAATCATCGAATATTCCAATCATCGTAGCACCAGTAATTTAAAATGAAGCGCTATAAAAACTTATTTATAGTGAGATCCGTAAGTAATCTCATTCACTTAGTTTCATATAGGTCTTTTTTAAACAAAACTTGTACTTATATTTTTTTAATTTTCCTTTTAACCCAAATTATACTTGTCTTTAGCTACCACTTAGTTACATACACAATAGTTGCTTTAAATATTTTTTATTGAACAATGTATAAAAAATGGTATATAACAAACAGACAAACACAATGGGAGATGCCGAGCTGGGACGAAGATGAGGACTCTGCAAATGATATGGATTTAGATCCACTGCCACCTGAAGAAATTATACGGGTGAGTAAACATTTAAAAACCATTTCTTAAGAAATAGCAGGATTGAAGTTTAAATAGCTGTGTAAGTGTTGACCACTACAAGTGTCTAAAATATATTTAGTGTATACTTGAAGCTAGTCAAAATAGTTGTTAATGGTTATTTTATGTGGACATTCCATTGTCTTTATTAAGTAAAGAAGTTGACCTAACTGGAAACTGACCTTGTTGCTTATCCATGTATCCACAGCAAAGTAAAAAGAAAACCACCACCGCTGCGGCTGACACGTCCAGCGAAGTGGCTCGGAAAATTAAGGACAGCTTCCGAATAAAAATGTCGGATCACATAATCCTTTATCTCAACCCTTACCGCAAAAAGGACTGCAAGATTGGCCGAATCTCATCCACAGACGATTTCAAACATCTTGCCAGAAAAGTAATTATTTTTTATTTTGAATTTTATATAATTTTATTTTCCATAGAGTAATGAATTCACAGAGCTAAGTATAACAGTTAAAAATAACAGGTTTTAATTACTATACCTTTAATAACCACGTTTGAGTTCTGTTCAAATATACACAATTGATCCTCGGACTCATTTAGGAATGATTTGTGAACAAGAGGACTGACTTAGTATTTACACTCAAGATTATAGCAGTTGGTCACAGTGCAATCAAAATAATATTGTGATAAATATTATTTAAGGAAATATATTTTCTTGAAAATGGTACAAAATTGTACATTAAAGATTTGATAAAATGGGGGGGGGGCACATAATTTGGTTATTTTTTTCAGCATCTGAGAACTGTTTGTTAATTTCAGTGTGTCTGATACCTGTGTTCATCTAATGCTTTATTTTGTAAGTGTGTCACGTTGTGGACCCACCAAAATTAAATCACTGTTTGTGGCAGGCTCCAGTTTCTTATCACCCACCAAAAAACAAAATCTTTTCAAAATGTCTTTAAACCTCTCCCTCCAGCTTACCCATCATGTCATGTCTAAGGAGCTGAAGCACTGTCGGCATGTAGAAGACCTTGAGGTCAATGAGAATGTCAAGGCCAAAGCAAAAGATTACGTGCGCAAGTATATGAGCAAGTTTGGGACCAACTACAAGAAGAGCTCCTCTCCTCAGCCTGACTAACGTACCTTGTTAAGAAATGTACATTCTCAATGTTTACATGCTGTATTGTTTGATCAGGGCCGGGGGGAATTTGTTGATTTTTAGAAGCCTCTTTTGTTACACAGCTCTCATTTTAGTCCTTGAGTTTTTTCCCACAAGTTACGATTCAATCTAAGTGATATTTTTAAATTTTTTTTTAGCTGCAACAAAATATAATTTTGTGCATATTGGTGGAATACCATTTTGTGAAAATTTCCTTCGGATCTTTTCAATCTGATTTTTAAAATGGAGATTTTTATTGACTAAGCTGCTCTTTAGCCTCTAGATCTAGACAAGTGGTATTTACACACATGTGTGGCCTCGTGCCCAGACACAATAGCATACCCACGCACATGTGTGGATATCCACACACACGTGTGGCCTCATGCCCAGACACAATAGCATAGCTACACACGTGCGACCTCATGCCCAGACACAATAGCATACTTACACACGTGTGGCCTCATTCCCAGACACAATAGCATACTTACACGTGTGGCCTCATCCCCAGACACAATAACATGCCCAGACACAATAGCATTTTGGGCTTTTAATTATTTGCCCACTTCCTAAAACAGACTTTAAAAATTTATTTGAAAGCCTTTCCAAAAATATGAAACCCTTTTTGAATAATCAGGGGAAAATAGTTTCTTCAACGTATCTATGAAAGAATTGCTTTTAAATCCTGGGTTAATGACTAGGAGGTGGCAATGTGGAGCTGACAAAGTACAGGATGCTCAGCCATTTAAGTATAACTAAAACTGAATTATTTTTGGTAAGCCTGGCCAATTGTTTTTCAGACCCAAAATTTAAACTATTTATACTTTGAAGAAAATAATATTTCTAACAGACCAAATAAAATTCTTGTAACAACGCGTTCTGAACTACTGATGGATTTAGAAAAACACCTTGACAAGGTTCTGGAAACAGGAACTTCAAGGCAATGGTTCCCCAAATATTTCTATTATGCCCTGGTTACTCAAATCTCTATTAAATGCTAAAGATGAGATCCTAGAAACAGTGCCCAAAACAAGACAAACGGTGAAGTCAGCTCTAATTATTTGTAACTAACAAGCTCCTTATCTTATATTTAATATCATTTGATCTCACAACTTTGCTCACTCGATATGTATCGTGCTTACATCTTGCTTACAACTGTTTCAAATCTACATGCAGATTGGGGGGATGTCTTCATGGGATGCATAACGTTCTAATGACAGTTGTTTACATATGTTCAGAATATGGTCAAGTGTAATGTTTTCTTCAAAGTGATGAAATAATTTTTTTTTAAAAACTGATTAATATTGTTGTACTGAATTGTAATTGTGCATACATGTCCATATTTGCATTTTTTTTGTTTTTTGTTGGTTAAATGGAAAAAGCATTTTTTCTTAAATGCAAAAATGTCACTATATTTATTATCTGGAATACAACAGTGTTTTACTCTTTAGTCATTTTAAGGGAATATAAGTCAGAATATGGTCAAAACATATTTATCATGACGCAAGATCACAGGTCATAGCTGTGTCATGTTATATTGATGTAACTATCGCTGGCTGCGGAGGATAGACACATTTTACAAGTATGAATTCTAAACCTTTAAAATATGACAAACAGTTCATGTTTCCAGGAATGAACGGTGACAGTCTGTATTACATTGCCACCTGTAAGCTGGACTAGATTTCAGGGGTTGAATCATGCTGTGTTCCATTTGTTTCATTCATTCATTTTTTTTTTTAATGACAGGACAGTAGTTTGAGTTGTTGTTGTAAATAATGTGTCATTATATTTTATTTTTATATTCTTTTGAGGAAAATGGAAGGGGGCTGGGTGTTTGTTGTTTTATGCATAATTTGTCAAGTTTTCTCCGTTTCTGTTTCTCTGTTGTAAATAATGACCTTTTATATGGTGAAAATATAATTATATTAGCCAATTAATTGCATTATTTGTATTTTTATTATTGTACATGTTATAAAAAAAAATTTAAACAAATGTGACAAATTTTTTAATGATTAAAAGTAAATTCAAAGTAATAAGTGTTGAGGTTTTTGTAGATCAGTTTTTAATAAATTAATTTAAAATCAGACACATCATAATATCCTGTCTGTGTGCCTTCTGCCCTCCAACTGCTGTTTATACTGATGTAATATTTCTCTGGAATTAGCAGCAGCGTGAGGTAAATCTTGAATTAAATCTGCAAACCATTTTTCGGGTTGCTGGAAAAATGTGGACAAAGTTGATGTGTTGAAAAATGTCAGTGATTGCTTTGATCTGAAGCGTGTTTTTGAAATGAACTTTATTATTATTATTATTAGTTCAGTGATTGCTTTGATCTAAGCGTCAAGAGTAATAGTTCAGTGATTGCTTTGATCTAAGCGTCAAGAGTAATAGTTCAGTGATTGCTTTGATCTAAGCGTCAAGAGTAATAGTTCAGTGATTGCTTTGATCTAAGTATCAAGAGTAATAGTTCAGTGATTGCTTTGATCTAAGTGTCAAGAGTAATAGTTCAGTCTTTGCTTTGATCTAAGTGTCAAGAGTAATATTTCATTTTTTTAAAAAAATTATGAGGGTTTTCGCAAATTTTTCTATAATCTGTTCGCCATAATTATTCAACCTGGAATCTACAATACTGAAGAAAAAAGTTTTGCCAATAGTTGATATAATTAGACAGTTTAAACAAAATGAACACCAGGAAAACCAATTTAAAATTATTTTGTGATTAGAAAAACAATCATGATTTTTTTACCATTCTGATGAGGTGGTCTACTATGCGATCATCTGTGTTTTCTCTTAAAATGCATGCAGTGGCATGAGCCAGGAATTTTTGCCTGTGAATCTCTTCTTCAATTTTCTGGTTGCCGAAACTGAAGAAATTGGGAAATAAAAGGCAGTTTTTTCAGCATATCATTCACATCTCCCAGGGCTATTTGAAATGTAAGTATAAGGTTAGGTCGAAGGAATAACTTAGCCAATGTTAAATATAATCTGGAGATCAAGTTCACAGCTAGCTATTATATTATAAGAGGTTGAGTGTATTAATAAGCATGGTTCTAAACTTTCAGAAAATTGAGATGAGTAAAGACCAACTCAAAAAAGAATCGTTTAGCTAAAAGTGAGGGCCAACATATTTTTGTCCTTTTGTTTTGATCGAAACAGTTACAAGAATTACCATGAAAGGTCATTTGGATATGTTGGACAGCATTCAACAAATACATTTTCAACAACCTCAAACTAAAATTGAACTTATTTGTCCACTGCTTATAATAGGTTATGAACATCTGCATTAAATATCAATTGATTTTATGCTCATAGTTCCCACTCACACAAATTGTTGAGACCTTTCAATATCTTGATCCAAATCTTCAATTTTCTGAAAGAAATGGAGAATATATCTTTAAAGTCGAATATAAAAAAAAATAATTATTTTAGGTTCTATACATAGTAACGTAACGTACCAATGTAACGTACGGAATTGTTGGTGAAAGTGGAACCTTTTTTTTTTCAAACAGCATCCACCAACCATGGCACACATAACTCCACTTTCACCTAACCCCATCCACAACTTGCCGTTTCACCTGACCCCATCCACAACTTGCCACTTTCACCTGACCCCATCCACAACTTGCCACTTTCACCTGACCCCATCCACAACTTGCCACTTTCACCTGACCCCATCCACAACTTGCCACTTTCACCTTTTTATTGTTCGTCCGTCGAGGATCGACGAGGACCATCGAGTCGTCTGGTGACTGATGACTTGCGCGGATGACTTTGTTTAAAGTGAAGAAGAGTTGCGCGGCGTCTACCTCACTCTCGTCCAAGCCCACCATATCCAGTGGCAAGACTCTACGTCAAGACGACCAGGGATGGATTCGGTTGCAGGAATTGTCATTGTTTGTGCCTTATGGGACTCCAACTCCGGGTTTGAATTCAGAGTTTCCTTCTCTTAGATGAGTTGCTGACCAAGGTTAACGAGTCTCGTCCAACCGGGGTGATGTTTTTGCTTGAATGGTCTTTGGCTGGACTTGAACACCAGACCACCAACTTGAGGTTTGCTCAGTTTAGACCATTTGGCCACCCAGTCACTTTCACCTAACTCCATCCACAACTTTCCACTTTCACCTTACCCCATCCCCAACTGTCCACTTTCACCTAACCCCATCCACAACTTTCCACTTTCACCTAACCCCATCCACAACTTTCCACTTTCACCTTACCCCATCCCCAACTGTCCACTTTCACCTAACCTCCATCCACAACTGTCCACTTTCACCAAACCCCCATCCCCAACTGTCCACTTTCACCTAACCCCCATCCCCAACTGTCCACTTTCACCTAACCTCCATCCACAACTGGAGTCACTATTGGACTCCAATAGTCAATTCAACAGATATAACTTAATCATCTTACAAATTTTCAAAGTAAAAATACATATTCCCAAATTAAATTATTAAAAAAACCATCTAAACTAAAAATGCAAGATAAGAATGGGAAATCTTATGGGTTATTTTTAAAGGATGCTTTTGACATGCTACACCTGTTGACATGCAATACATATAATATGCTTAGTAAAGGAGTCAACTTTTTTTATACACTTGTGTGCAAAGGGCTGTACAAAAACACATTCATTGTTCTTTATAATATAGAATTAGATCACAATATAAACAAAACACATAGCTTTTAAATAGCCAAAAATACTTAGAGTAACACAAAAATTTTTGTCAAGTTTTAATATAAATTATTTTTAATTACTATTTGCAACAAAAATCTGGATAAATGGAAGTATTTTTTTATGTCTTGAACATTATGTGGTAAATTAGATACTAACTTAACATTATAATGAAAGGATGGAAATTATTGGGAGTGGTTTGTGATTAATGCAATGGGAAAGAGATTCATTTCAGAGAAACTGACATTGAAAAGGGAAACATTCAGAGCAACTGACAGATAACCAGTCCTGTAATCAGTTTACCTTTGCCATCTTGTGTTGAAAGTTGTTCATCTTTAGCCTGTCTAAAATAGCTGAACTCAGTCCATAATGTTCTAGAACTTTCTGATCTGACTTCTCATATTTTTGGCCTACAGTCCTGGTGTCATCTTGACTCACAGTTGCTTGTCCTCGAGAAAATAAACCAAAAAAATACATTTAGTCAATCAGAATATTGAGACCTTTCAATATCTTGATCTAAATCTTCAATTTTCTGAAAGAAATGGAGCAATGCATCAGTAAGGTAATGGTGAGGCAGGGGAAAGTTCTACACAGAATGTAGTGCCTCTGGGGTGGATGAAATTGGAAGCAAGATTTTAAAATAATTAATTGTCTTTTTGTTCAATTTGTTCACTGTGGGTCATTTTCATTGTTAATGATCATTTATACTAATGTAATGGTCAACAGTAATTCTATGGTACTCACTGTCCTGGGCATTCTTACACTTATCAATCATTTTCTGACAAAATTCAGACTTGGCTTTACCATCTTTCCCTGTATAATAAAAAGTTGAGATTGTTTTCAAGACAGTGATCTCATAGGCAACGACTCATTACAAAGTGCATGTGCATTATTGTGTCTGCAAAGTGAAATGATTCAGCAAAGTCTCCCTAGATTTTGACTTGCTTTTTTGGTGGTGGGCGGGTGGGTGTGGGGGGGGGGGGGTTGAGGGGATTAGGGTACATGAAAAGACAGAAATATTTTAAACTTCTGATACAAAATATTGTGTCTGCAAAGTGAAATGATTCAGCAAAGTCTCCCTAGATTTTGACTTGCTTTTTTGGTGGTGGGCGGGTGGGTGTGGGGGGGGGGTGTTGAGGAGATTAAGATACATGAAAAGACAGAAATATCTTAAACTTCTGATACAAATAATGGCAAGTGGTGTTGTCTGTGATGAGTATACAACTAATGGCAAGTGGTGTTGTCTGTGATGAGTTTCCAACAAAGTTCATTATGTCATTTAGTTTTAACTTTCTAGAATTTCATTCTTAAGAGAGGTTAGATTAAATTAAAATCACACCCAAAATTAAATTGTAAAAAAAACATATAAACTGTCATTTTGGACATGTAGTTATTAGCTAAGTAATTACACTGACCGAATTGAAGGAAATATCATCAGATGTCAGAAAGAGAATGATTTTCTTGTTTCGTAATTTACCTATCATAACTGTATTGGCAACTTCACGTTTTGAAAGAGTTGACTCACTGTCATCTGATACGCTTCTTGGGCGTTCCAAGTTGTGAAGTTTTAGCCACCTTATTGTGTTGAGAATAAAATTCTGTCTAGCTTGTTCAACCCATTCTGAATCTTCACTGTCACTGTCAGTGCGCTGGGTCTGATGATATAAATCATTCAAATAATTTCAAGATTATGGGTCTGAGAATGTGAATAATTTAATATTACTTAATTGTCATGCAACTGTTATTGACTTACTTTTTTTGGTGATAACAACACACTAAATGGGGCTTTTATGAACTGAGTTGGCTAATATTATTTAAAGGTTTTAAATTATCATCTATTTGCTATTTATATGCAATGTTCTCTATTCCATTTAAGTTAAGTTGTACTTAAAGGTTAGTTGATAAACAAATTTGATTTTAAAACAAAGATATTTTATGGAACTCGCTTGTCAACAAATAGAGTGTGACATTGTAAAATAACAAACTCTTTTTAAATTAAATTTTTGCAGCTTTCAACCCTACAAATCTCAACTTACACAGCTCAAAAATGATGAATCCCCTCTGGTAACATACTCACTTTCTTCCAGTTCTTCAATGCTTCAAGAAAAAAATAAATTATTTGTTTAATTTATTTAAGAGATTTTTAATTTACCTTTTTTTTTTTTAAAATTTACTTACAAGTTTTTTTCTCTCATGTTTTAAAATAGTTCACGATTGAAAAGTGATAATTCTACAAAAACCCATCCCCAAAACAAATCTAACATTCACATGGGTATAATGGCTTAAAAATTCAAATGGGATCAAATATTAATGGAATGGTAATTTTCTTCCATTGAACAAAAACATAAATACTAAAGATTCTTAAAAATTGGCAAATAGACATTAGAACTAACTCTTTCACAATCTCTGTTACATCTTTCCATTCTCGTGGTATCGTTGGCTGACTGCTGCTAGAGCTAGGGGAGAACACCTCAGATGAAGCAAAGCTGTCAGCATCTGTGTGAGAGTGGTCACTCTCTGTTCTTGTCTCATCCTGAGAGTCCAGTTCAATAAATGTGCTTGATCCATAGCTTGGCTGTGATTGGATGGTTGTGCCACCATCTGGACTGGTGTAATCTGTTAGTTCAAAAGGCAAAATTTCATTAGTTTAGTAGGGAAATATAGTTTTTAAAAAAAATAGATTAGAAAGAAAATAGGAAATTAACATCAGTTAGGTAGGACAAAGAACATTTTCATTAGCTTCATAGGGAATAGACTAATAAAAAATAAAATGTTTTTCAAGTGGATATCAGTGGGAAAACAAAGCAAAATGCTTCATCTTTTAATAATTTCTTCTTCTTCTTCTTCTTTATTTTGAGGGCCCACGATCAATGAATTGATCATTTCTCCAAGTAATGATTAAAATGTGTTTAAATGTTAGCATTTATCCAGATGCATAACAAGTAACCTGTCAGTGTTTCTTGGCTCAGTGAAAGGAATGTGTCTCCACTGTACAAATTGTCTGATGGCATTAGGGTCTGGTCGTCGGAAGTAGTGGGCTGTGAGTAGACTGTTGACTGGTCAACAGAAACTTCTTCATCTTCACTAGCAAAATGAACGGTCTAAAGATAAATATAGATAATAATTAAATGTAATTCATAAGTCTTAACCATTTGCAAAGACATGATTTTTCAGTTAAAAAATAAAATCCACAATTTTTGGCTTTGTTGATTCCAAATATGTACAGAATGCTGTCCCTTTAACTATATCTAAATAGCTTTTCTAGAATGGATGTAGTTGTTATATATCAAATCCTTTCCAAAGTACAACCCAGCTTGCTGGGCATCAAATATATTTCCCTTTTCTTATTTTAGTAGCAGTTATCTGGCTTTCACTTTTTGTGACCTACTAACTCTGCTGGGAGAATATTCATAACTTCCTTTACTTTTTTTCTCCAAGTTTGGACCATTCAAAATTAAATGGACACAGAATCAAAATAAAAGAAATCAGTAGATTTATAAGTTAAAATCATCTACTATGTTTTAAAAATTGTTTTATATCTTATACTTGTATGCTTTCCAACATTTGAGCTACTTTTGTAGCAGAATATAAAAAAACTAGGGCTTAACTGGGTGTAGTTTTTTACACCGGGTCCGACGGTTGTGAAGAGGATGCAGGACACACGAGAAGCAAAATAGATATATAAAACTAGGGCTTAACTGGGTGGAGTCTGGTTATTTTGAGAAAATACCCGGTGGGTCCAGGCGTTACAAAATTGTGAAAATGTATGCAGTGCTGATAATAAGATGTTTCAAAGGACTTAAAGTTAAAGGTCCATGTTCATTTTACCAAAAAAGCAGAAAAAGTTTTTACCACAGTTACTTTAATATTAACCAGTCCTGATACTACATACTTTGTCTGGTTATGTTTCTATACTTTATGGCCTATGGAACTATGTAAAGCAAATATAACAAAATAAGAACATGATATTGCACTGCACCACTGGATCACACTGAATCAGAATCAGGGCATACCTTTTTTTCTTTTTCCACTGATGTGGCTGATGCTACGGAGATTTTTGATGAACTTGGTTGTGCATCACTTGAAATGAATGACAGTGTTGCTCTTGGTAAGTTGGTGTGATGCTTTATCAAAGTGGGCGGTCTGCTTGCCATTGTGATGTATAATAACTGGTTGGCGGCTGGGTAGGACTATACTTATTAATATTAAACTTATTAGTTACTTAAGTTAATCTAAGTCTAAAGTCTTAAAAGTTAAGACTAGAACTAGAACTAAATTCAAAATGTGGGGCCATCCATAAAGTACGTCACGCTCCAGAGGGGGGGAGGGGGTATAAGAAAGTGTGACAATTTGTGACAGGGGGGAGGGGGGGTCAGGCCATGTGTGACATCACACATTTATTTCTTTAAAATTTTATTTCTAACTTATTTTTTTATTTTTTTAGTGGAATTTAATAGCTTTAAAAATAATCTTCAAAAATTGTGTGTATCATTTGAATTAGTTTTATGTCAAAATAGTATGAAAAGCTTATCTCCTGAATGTGTTGTTCACGATTCCTCTCTCAAGTAGCGCTAGTATGCTGTTGCGAAGCCTTGTTTTATGTATAGCCTTGCTTTCGTCATGCCTGAAGTATTATTATTTCTGTTGTCCGCTGCATAATTATGTCACTGTCCTTTTTATTATTTAATCATTTGGTGAGGTCAAGTTTCGCTAATATACTTCTTAACCTGTGTAAAAAGATTAATAATCATAATCGGAAGATTATCTAAAACTTGACCTCATCTTTTGTAAATGAAAAAGCAGCAGATAAATTATGTGTATTATATTTTAAATTATATAATTTTCTAGTCAAAATTTTGCAATTTTTGTTTTCAAATTAATCTAGATTGAGTTACTGCTTCAATGAATAACTGTGACAACTGTTGACAATTAACTATTCTACTATTAAAGTCATTTTAATAATGTGATAGTGGAAATTAAGTGGAAATTTTATATTTTAATACAGTTTAATTTTAATAGTGAAGTGTGTTTTAGATTAAATTTTGATTAGGTGTTAATTTTTTTAAAAATTTGTTCGAAAGTGTGATGTACTTTTAGGGGGGGGGGGGGGGGGGGGGGGGGGGGGGTTCCGAGATTTGTGACAGTTTGTGACCAGTGACAGTGGGCTCAGTGGGGGTAAAAATGGTCAAAAATACTTTAACTTTATTATGGACGGCCCCTGTATAAAAAATTTAAGTAATTTAAAGTAATTAAAAAGTTGCAGAATTTAAAAAGCTAGCCACATAAGTGCAAGTGCAAGCGAATTAAATTGTATACAAATCGGAAATCCGTGTACTATGATACGCAAAGTATGAAATGGGACAGCTTTATTGTTGTGGACATAAGGGCCAAATTAAAATTTGTTAGTGATAGGCTAGCTTAGTTTTGTTTACTTCCGTTTTTTACAGCTTAGAGTAGCTTCCCCTTTCCCAATTCTGCTCACTTCCCCTGCAGCAGAAGATCATCTATTCCTCAATCGCGACATCATTATCAGATTTTAAAAATTTATAATAATTTTAATTGAAATATAAAATGTATGAGGCTTGTATTATCGAAGGAATGTTTAAGAGTAAAATAAATATACGTCTATTCTGAATCATCCTCTCAACACTGCTTTAAAAATAAGCTGTACTGTACAGATTTCAGCCAAAACAGGTCTAAAAAAATATAAATAAATAATAAATAACCTAACTTACTTATTAACTATGACTATGTTAAGTATGTCACAGTATGATTGAGTATGTCTATGTTGTAGTAGTTTAATAGTAATATACTAAGTATAAGTCATAATTTAAGTAAGTAGACACTTCAGATAATAATAGTAATAACTAGTAAGTTAAGTAAGTAGTAGTAGTACTTGAACTTGTGCAGCCTCCCATCATTGTCAAATCTGAAGGACTGTACACTATACTATACTGTATTTTTGAAATCTTGATCTTGCTTCATCAGTATTGATTGTTTTAACGGTAAATTCAGAGAGAGCGGCCTGCGTCTTTTTCCATGGCTGCCACTTTTACGTGTTCACGGGTCGAGGCAACCAAGATGGCGGCCGTGGAAAAATGAAATAACTCACGTTTGCTAAAATTTGGAAGAAAACGTTTAAAATTGATGAAAAAAATGTCCTAAATTGAGCCCTATGCTATGCCTAACCTGAACCATAAATCGATCACTATGTCTATGTCTAACAGTCTGAACCCTAAATCTATCCCTATGCCTATCCTGAACCCTAAATCTATCCCTTTGCCTAACCTGAACCCTAAATCGATCCCTAAGCCTAACCTGAACCCTAAATTGATCCCTATGCCTAACCTGAAGCCTAAATCAATCCCTATGCCTAACCTGAACCCTAAATCGATCCCGAAAACCTACCCTGAACCCTAAAAACTAGCCATAAAAACACATGGAATTTACACACTGTGGCAAGAAAACTATAAAAATTAACAAAAAACAATAAAAAAAGGGGCCAAAATAATTATAAAATAAAGAAATAATGAAATTTCAACTTACAGTTTCATGAAATACACTTTTACACACTTTATTTCAGGTTCCATGGAAAATAATAGCCACAAAATGAATAAATCTCCACAACCCACAGGCACCCCACATATATCAAATATGGCGGAACAAATAAAATATGATAATAAGCCAACCAATCAAAATTTTAAAATTATAATTAATCAACCAATAAAATTTTAATTATGAATATGTAACTCTATTTACTCAAAAATAAGGGGAGTGAATCCAAACCAAAACACGCAAAAGTCGTCACGGGCGGCTAAATCTGAATCAGCCATTTTAACTTATAGCAGTTTTTGAGCTAAGAATTTTTAAAGTATGAGTTCGTTTGACCTTTTTTTACCATAGACCGTATCTCCTCATTCCACGATGCTATTCCGCTTTTGCCTCAAGTGCAATATCTCTTGTTTTAATGATAATTTTATATGACTTTTATCTACAGCAGGCCTGCACAACATACGGCCCACGTGTCGCATGCGGCCCGCCAGAAACCCACTTTACGGCCCGCGAAGTAAGGAAATATTCTTTATTGTTATTAGTTTCTAAATAGCTTTCCCCCCCATCTTTTTTTCTTTTGGCCTGCACAAGCCCTGTTCTATTTTCTTTTGGCCCGCACAAGTTCTTCATAAAGTATTACGGCCCGCCTTACATTTTGAGTTGTGCAGGCTTGATCTACAGGATTTATGCTAATTTAAAAAATTAATTTTAACAATGTTATGCACTTAAAAATAAATTGTAACTTATCTAGCTATGCACAATGTATACAAATTAAATAGTAGTCTCCCTTGTGTTACTGAAGTTTTAGCATAGATACTTCAATTTTCAACTAATCAAAAGACAACACTTTTAGTTTTAGTGCGCATCTTTTTTTTTACTGGTTTTTAGTTTTGGGTAGGGATCAGCAAGGCTGTGTTTCTTTTTTCATTTCTTTTGATACTTGTAAATTGAATTTTAATAAATATTAATTAAAAAATTCATTTTAATATGCTTCATATTGACCTATTGATTGTCAGATTTAGTTTATGATGCGATTAATTCTCAGTGAACAACAAAAAATGTTATCACACACATCATTCAGATCCAACAATTGGTCTGTTCACTTTAAGTCCAGTGTTGGGATTTCACAAAGTGATGTCACTGTGCTTAGGGTGAGACAATTCTTGGCAAAACCCATACCGTTAACCCTAAATTTGCTCTACTATTTACGATGCACTCATCAAAGTACTGAAACTACTTGCTTTTAATTTTTGACTTGTAATTTATTGAGTACAAATTTTATCAAGCCAAGCTATTGTGTGGGCCCTTGGGCTCCAGGGGGGTTCAGATATTTAAGGGCCCCAAATTTGTGATGTGCAGAAAATTTAAAGATCAACTTGAAAGCTAGGAGCACAATACAGAAAAATGACAGGGGCCTCCAAAAGCCATAGCCATTATTGCCGTCAAGACAGTCATTGAGTCAAGTTAACTTGCCCATGACTGTCAAGTCACCAAGTTTATCCACAGTAGTTGAGTAGTAGGCCTAAATAGGCCTAGTTTTTACCACCCCAGCTAATTAAATCTTTAAAAATACAACTTAAACTTTTAATTAAAATTAAAGCGTTTAATTTGCTAAAGACACTTGCACTCTTTACTAATATTTTTTTTAAATTTTGTCTAATTTCAGAAGTCTATTGAGACTAAATTAAAGGAAAGAGTAGTTCCCTGCCTGTGGAGTTAAAAAAGTGAAAATCCTGTAGTGATTATAACCACACTGGGGTTGTCCAGACTCTATATCAGTAAACTCAGACTGCTGAGGATACCTTGCTGGAGACAAAAGTTACCAAATTTTCTATCTTCAAAAAATACATATTTTATACGCACTAAAATGTCAGAGTCCCTAGTTTCATTGGTAGGTATAAAAAAAAATGTGTTTAGCATTATTTTATTTCTTTCTTTAGTGGTGGTGATGTGGAGCCTATTTTTTTCTCTCTCTATTTTTAAGAAGACTTTTGGCCAAACGTTTTTTAGCCAAAATACTTTTTTTTTTTTTTTACAAATATAGTACTTTAACATACTTAGCATCATCTAATCTAAGCTTTATCATATTTCAACCTTCTTAGAAGGCTTCTTCTTCTTTTTTTGCAAATAAGACATTGCAATTAATACAATAATAATAATAATAATAAGAGGTCTTATATAGTGCGGTACCCCAGCATAGGGCTGGGCTCACCGCACTGTAAATACAATTTTTTATCAAAAGAAACATAATCATGACATTAAAATAAAATACATTTATGAAATAAAGAAAAGCAATGTATATTCACCCACCCCACCACACAATATATGTCAAACATTTGTAATTCGAAACAAAATGTCCCTTATTATTTAATATTAGCCATCTTCTGATCTTCCATATGAAACTGAACCCTGTGTTGATTTGAGTTTTTAAAATATTGAATTTATTTTTTTGTTTGTAAAACATATTGTAAAATTTTTGGGAAAGGCAGCATGTTCTAGTTTGTACAATTCATTTTACTTTTGATTGCAGGTTTCAGCTAAAGGCAGATTGTACTAGTTTGTACAACAAAATTTACTTTTAATTGCAGGTTCCAGCTAAAGGCAGCATGTCCAAGTTTGTGTAACTTATTTCATTTTGGATTGTAGGTTCTGGCCAAAGGCAGTATGTACAAGTTTGTACAACTCATTTTACTTTTGATTGCAGGTTCCAGCTAAAGACAGCATGTACAAGTTTGTACAACTCATTTTACATTTGATTGCAGGTTCCAGCTAAAGACAGCATGTACAAGTTTGTACAACTCATTTTATGTTTGATTGCAGGTTCCAGCTAAAGACAGCATGTACAAGTTTGTACAACTCATTTTATGTTGGATTGCAGGTTCCAGCTAAAGACAGCATGTACAAGTTTGTGCAACTCATTTTACTTTGGATTGCAGGTTCCAGCTAAAGATAGCATGTACAAGTTTGTACAACTCATTTTACGTTGGATTGCAGGTTTTGGCATGTACTAGTTTGTACAACTCATTTTACTTTTGATTGCAGGTTCCAGAGCTGGGTCGTAGCAATGTGAAAATAAAAGATCAAGAATTGGTGGAAAAAGCCATTCGTACGATGATGAGGGACGCACACCATAAGTTACAAGTTAGTTAACAATTTTAAAGAAGCCAATTTTTGCTTATATTTATTTTCATCTCCTGAGTTTAAAAAACATTTCTTTCTATATATAGTATTTGTGTAATGAAGTAAATCTCATTTATGCAACACAAATCTAATAAATAAAATTTCATCACCGGTACTGTTGTACTTATAATATAAATTATTGTTGTCTGTAAAGAAAAGATGGTGGAAAATAATTTGAGCAAACCTTACAGTTCAATCCATACAGAAAGAGAATATTCTCATTTTCAACCAAAGTTGAAAAATATTTTAACCATTCAGTATCTATTCTGTATATAGCATACTTCAAATGAAATTTGTATTTAATGCTGTGCACGAGGTCCTGAAGGGAACAGTTAAAAAAACAGTATTTCAAATCCTGAGAGGGATTAGAAAAGCGACTCCCCCTCTTGCTGTTTCTGTTTGCTTGTAGGTGGTTGCAGATTTTGATTGGACATTAACAAAACATTCAGAACACCGAAAAGTGTGCAGTACAACACATGGTAAGTTTAACACAGATTTAAATTTATTCCTCTCTAGATATTGATGTGTAAATTATATACTCTTGATTTATAGGTTGTGGCTGATTTTGATCGTACCCTATCTAAATACTCAGAAAATGGCAGACTATGTAACACAACACACAGTGAGTTGGATTTGGCCAGTGTGAGCTTGAACAAATGGACTTGTTTTTTTTTTTTGTTGTTTTTTTGTGACTATTATTTTTCCTTTTTCCCTTTAGTCTAATAGATACCACTAAAACAGAATAATTGCCCTTTTCTTCATAACAAAACCCATTACCATTGATATAACTTTCTATAACATGACTGTAAACCATAATTTATATTAATGGCTTTGCATTTTCATAGCTAAGTTTCTACATAATGTTATTTATATATATTAAATACATCCATGTATATATGTACCTTTAGTGTCAATACAAATAGCCAATTTGATTTTTAAGAAATATCCAATGCCAAAAATGATGATAATAACAAAGTTTAAATATTAAATAAATACTATTTAATTAGAAGTGGTTTTCTGGTATTTAAAGTTAAGGTAAAGTATTTCTTATTAAAACTTTAATTGTTGACCTTTTGTTGACCAAACCACTGCACACAAGACAAGGGCAAACAGGGGCAATAACACAGATTAGATAATTGCTCTCATGCACCAATTAACACCAACGTATACATTCATTTTCAAATATAATAATAATAATAGAAGTCAGTTCCAAGTATAAGTCTTCTTTAAACCAATCGCTACATTTTCTATTGTGTCATACTTTTTTTTGATTAACAAAATAGAAATAGTGTTTTTCTTGTTTAACATTCACTACTATACAAGCATTGTTATAGTGTCATTACATCAACATTATGGAACTGGTAATAGGATGTCAGTCTTCGTAACCAGTGACAGTTGTCAGGCTGCCAGTCTCAGTAACCACTGACAGCTGATGTTTTTACTCAGTATGCTACATTTTCCTACAGCTATTAAGATAGCGGGCATATTATTAGAAATCATTAACTGGATTAAAAAAAAACTATTCCAGACTTTTTATTCCATTTAGTTGTAGTCTTCCTATCTTTGCAATTCATTGTTACTGAAAATCCAAGCTCTTGGTTAATGCTTGCTAGAGATTGGATTTGATCCACAAAGGTCTTGATGGATCATTGACAGATTTACCATTACACCTCTTAGTGATCCAATAATGAGAACATTTTTGGCATATCAGGTTCTTTGTGACTTAGACTATTTGGTATAAAAAAAACAAGGTAACCCACCCAGAGCGTAACCCACCCAGAGTGTAACCTACCCAGAGCAGATGAAATTTTAAAAGGATTTTTTAGGAAAATCTATAGACCTTATTTCAAGTAAAAATGAATATTCAAAGGTTATAAAAATTTCTAGCACTAAAAGGGTGATAGCACACACACAAAACAAAACAATATGTGCACTGTAGACTTGTCACTACTATACAGAGTCTTTGTTTAAGCTTTCATTCTGTACAGTATTTACATTGTTTCTTTCATGGCTCAGCTTTTGTGCTTTTTGGTTAACTTTTATAGTTTCATTGTAATTCATGAATCTGGTGTTCATTTACGATTTGTAGTCACCTCATTGATATATTTGTAAAATGTTTAGTTACATGGCTAATATTTTATTTGTATGATGGTTGCTTAAGTCAGCGTTTCCCAAACATTTAGGTTTGGCGGAGCAGTGGTTAAGTTTCAAAATGCATCAGGGACAGGTGTGACATTTATTAATTATATTTTCTTTTTATTTCGACCATAAATATTCATGTTGTTTGGACTGGCAACACAAGGCTCATGGACCAGTGCCCGTCAATGGCCCACCATTTGGGGAACGCTGGTTAAAGCTGATCAGTTTTGTTGTGTTGTTCTCTCCCCCCTCCATTGAAAAAATTTAACAAAATACATGTAAAGTTTACTCCAATTTGCAACTTGTAGGTTATGATTGACATGAGAGGGTGGCAGAGTTTAATTAATATACTATTTTTAGTTAACACTTTTTTTCTGAAAATAACTTCTTATTTTAAATGTATTTCAATAACCTAATTTTTTAATTTAATTTTTTTCCTGCTTTTTTAAAACTAAATGTGAAAAACTATTGTAACAGTACTCTTATTTAAATTGTAACCTTGACCTTAAACACCCACTGAATCTTGTCTCTTGTGTGTTTCTGAAGGTGTGCTGGAAGAGAGCCGTTACATGCCAGACTACTTCAAAGAGGAGGTAAGAAAGACCTCCTTACTTTTCACAGTTTTATATTTACTTGGGAAACTCTTTAAAAGATTTCTCTATCAAAGATTTCTCTATACACTTATTTAAACAAAATGGGATAACCTGAAAATCTTAAATAAAACTAAAACTAAAATGCAGGATCAGCATTTTTCAACATAGTGTGTCATAACACATGGGTGTGTCATAACACACTGGTGTGTTATTAAAAGGTGTATATGGTTTTCAGATGTTATGGAATAAAAATAATTTTTAATAAAAGTTTTCGAGACATTTTACCAAAAAATTATATAATCCCATTAATGAGCCTATAATTATAATATAACAATTCAATCCCTCTAAAAATTGGTTTGCACAATTATTTGGTGGACAATGCTCATCATAAATACACCTAAACTCTTTAAAAATTTGAATGGTGTGTCATAGAATTTTATTAATTAACTTTAAGGTCTATAATACAAAAGTGTTGGAAAATGACTGTGCAAGTTGATTGTCAATTGTCAAGTCCTTGTTCTACCGGGTTGGTTAATCCGTCAGTTTCTTTAACACGTTGATTACGTCGTACTAATATTGAATAACTAAAGTCCTTCATCATAATAAATGCAACTTTAATATCATATCATTAACACAGGCTGTAAACTCCATGTACATATGCATCGATAGCGCAGCTCGCTATAGCCCGGAATAATACACCCTACCTCCACACAGTTCCATTCAAAGTTACGTCCCCAATCAGTCTAGACAATTTGTCTCCAAGATAATTAAGGGCGGGAAGAGGGTCACTACTTAAACAGCTCTCAAACACACAGTGCGCAATGACTCATTCAGTCGCAACAATAACTAATTAACTCCCCTACTCGACATTGATCCGATGAAGAAATTGAATATGTTGGATTTTCTTAGATATTCAGTAACTGGCAAGGGCCACGCAAACATTTCACTGTCTAGAAGAAAGCTATTAGGGTTGGGAAAACATTTTTAATTCACACCACACATCATAAAGCACACAGCATACGGCACACAGAAATGGGTCATATGGGGAATTTGAACTCCCATGGTTATTTGATCCAAATGAATTGTCTTGTCAGTGATTTGATCTTTACTTGTATCCTCTTTTTTTATTCTAGGCCTGCAGACTGAAGGATATCTATCTGCCCATTGAATTTGACCACTCAAAAACAATAGAGGAAAAGGTACCCAAGATGATTGAGTGGTATGTAGTTTACAAAAAATTGTTAGGATCTCTCCCCCCCCCCCCCAAGAAAAGAATGAAAAAATTAGAATAAAATAGATTAACACACATTAATTTTCAAACTGAAGAAAAATAATTATAACCACATCATTTGAACAAAGGGTCTCAACCTGTAGTTTACAGAGCCCGAGAATAGATACAATACATAAAGTAAGAGATAGACCAGGGAAAAAATATGGACGTTAAACTAAAACTGTGTTTCACAAATGGTGGTGGTGGTGGTGGGGGGGGGGGGTTGGAGGGGAGCCACAAGTTCTAACTTAGTGTAAGGGGTATTAAATAATAAATCCTGTATTTAGTTGTGTATTTTTTTTTTAAAAAGTTATTATTTCTCAATAAAGTAAGAGAGAGACCAGGGAAAAAAATATGGACGTTAAACTAAAAATGTGTTTCACAAATGGGGGTGGTGGTGGTGGGGGGGGGGGTTGGAGGAGAGCCACAAGTTCTAACTTAGTGTAAGTGGTATTAAATAATAAATCCTGTATTTCGTTGTGTATTTTTTTTTTAAAAAGGTATTATTTCTCCTCCTTATGTTTTTAAGGAAGCTGTCATTCCTCTCATAGCTTTGAAATTGTTATAAAGATATTTTAGATGATCATTTTTTTAAAAAACATTTTTTACATGCTCTTCCGATAAACTTTAAGGTGGACAAAAGGTCATGATCTGTTGGTTAGCTGTGGGCTTTCGAAAGACACACTTGAACACATTGTGGCAGAATCTCAAGCTCGTCTCAGGTGAGTGGGAAAATGTATCACCTGGATTGACACACATTGTTTGAAAAGCATCATTTCACATAGCTTGATTGATGTATAGTTCATATGAAGAGCATTACATAACTTGAATGATATACTTCACATGAAGAGCATCATGTCAAATAACTTGGTCGATTTATTTCATTGGTCTTGTCACTCACCTTGAATATTAAACTTTGTATGAAGAGTATCATGTGAATTTTTCAATCAATGTTTATATGAAGAATGGTAATAAGGGAAGACTGTAATCAGATTAGAATAAAGGAAAATGAGTGAAACCAAATATGGTGAAAACCTCACCAAAAAAAAAGGAAGCAACAAAACAACAAACGCTTCGGCAAGAAGCCTTCTTTCGTGAACAAACAACATGAAAAACAAAATTACATTTTTAAAAATAACACATAGCTGTAATGTAGTGTCCGAGAGAACAGAAAGAGGAAAGTGACAGAGCATCAGTGAGAGGACAGCAAGAGGAAAGTGACAGCATAAGTGAGAGGAGAGCAAGAGGAAAGTGACAGAGCATAAGTGGGAGATTAAATAAAAGAAAAAAGGGACAGAAGAGAGGAAAAGTAAGTCCAATGCGATTGGTCGTAACAAGGAGGTGGGCTGAGAAGAGTATCACATCAGTGTTTCAGTCAATGTTTATATGCAGAGTATCATTATCATGTCAGTGCATCAGTCAATGTATATATCTTAGCACATTCTTTTTTTTCTCGGAAGGAGAAATTAAAAAAAAAATGTCTTGTTTTTTAGACTACATGGATTACATTTACTTCACTAAAGATATACCTTGTATTTATTTGTTACCTATCACATCTAGAGACATATTTAAAATTGTACTTTCATCTCTGTTCAACTCTTTGCATCTAGAAGTTTCTCTGGCTTTTGACTCATTTAAATACTGGTGAATGAGAAAATAAATGATACTGACAGGAACAACCAATACGTTGAGTGCTAATAATAGCCTGATGACCTTTGACTTAACTTGAGTGCTAGTAATAGCCTGATGACATTGGACTTAACTTGAGTGCTAGTAATAGCCTAATGACATTTGACTTATAGTAGAAATGAAATCATTGAAATATAAAATAAATAAAGCATATGATGAACTGAGTGTACAGTCATGGAAAGAAAGTGGTTGTTTACAATTTCCCCAGTTTTCTCTTCATTGAACTCAATATTTCAAACTTGCCTATGTAACTGATCACTGTTTTGAAGTCCTCTATCAAAGTTATTTTACTTCCATCCATTGTCCTCCACAGGATGGCTGCAAATACATATTTCATCCATGCCTTGTCCTCCCATCCATTGTCCTCCTCAGGGATGGCTGCAAAGCATTTTTCAACCAGCTGCATGATCTAGACATCCCCATTTTAATCTTCTCTGCTGGCATAGGGGACATCATTCATCTGGCCATATCACAGCAGGCAGAGTTCTTCCCCAGCAACATGAAGATTGTCTCAAACTTTTTACGTTTTGATGAAAAGGTTTGTACCGAGGGAGGTCACAAGACGGCAGCCATCTTGGCATGGGCTGAGGATCAGCTGTCTGATATCCTGGCAACAGAATGTTAAGATAATTGTCAAAGTAAATTTTCAAACAACAATATCATAATTCACCAAAGTTCAGTCATTTGTTAGGTTGAAGGTTAGTCATTTGTTATTTCTGCTATCAGATTTAATAGTTGCAAAATACCTCATCAGGAATTCAAACAGTTGAGGCCATTTCATTTATTTATGTTAAACTTTGCCAACTTTTTTTCATGTATGATTGTGCAAGTTTAGCAGTACTGGGTTAGTGGATGAAATTATTGACGGTGTATTTACCTACCAGGGTATCATAATTGGGTTTGAGGATGAAATCATCCACACCTTCAACAAGAATGAGAATGCCATCCACTCCAGTGACTACTTCTACAACATCAAGCACAGGGAGAACCTACTCCTGATGGGGGACTCGATCGGTGACCTCAGGATGGCTGAAGGGGCCGATCATGTAGAATGTATGCTGAAAATAGGATTTCTTAATTTTAAGGTAAAAAATATCTTTTCATTTCATAGTACACTGAAAAAAAATAAAAATGGATCTTTAATGATTTATACATGAACATCCAATGTATCAATTCTGATATAACATCCTCATTGTCATTTCTGATCTGACATCATAACATCCTAAGTATAAATTCTGATCTGAAATCATAACGTCTTAAGTATAAATTCTGATCTGACATCATAACGTCTTAAGTATCAATTCTGATCTGACATCATAACATCATAACTATCAATTCTGATCTGACATCATGGTATGTTCATATTTATAGAGGACCTTATTAATTATTTATCAATTTAAAGTAGTGGCTTCTAGACTGCCTTTATAGTTCAAAGTTAATGTATGTCCCAGTTCAGGCATGCACAACATACGGCCACGAAGTAACAAAATATTCTTCATTCTTATTATTTTCTTAATAGCTTTTCCCCCTGTTTTATTTTCTTTTGGCCCACACAAATCCTGTCCTATTTTCTTTTGGCCCGCACAAGTTTTTCATAAAGTATTACGGCCCGCCTTACATTTTGAGTTGTGCAGGCCTGTCCTAGTTCATAGGGCGGCAGTCTTTTTTGAAGGAAGATCCATTTCATAAATTATATGTCTTATACCTTAAATTTAGAAAATACTTTGAAACACTTTAACAATCATAATTAAATTAAAAATTCACTATTTTTTTTTCAAGTTTAAAAAATTTTTAAGAGTGAAAAGAGACAAATGTTTTTCATTCAAAAGAACCGCATGGGGCTCCTGATTCGCAGGTTGCTGACCACTGCACCTGTTCAAGAGATGCACATACTTGTTCAGTGGGGTAGGCGGGATACAGTGGGTTTGTGGGACACTAATTATGTTTTTTTAATGGAGGTTTATCTAGTGAATGAGTGCAAAGGGAGATGTGTATGAGTTCAAGGTAGGGATGAATTGTTTCAAAGGGAGACATGTATGAGTTCAAGGTAGGGATGAATTGTTTCAAAGGGAGATGTGTATGAGTTCAAGGTAGGGATGAATTGTTTCAAGGGGAGACGTTTATGAGTTCAATGTAGGGATGAATTGTTTCAAAGGGAGATGTGTATGAGTTCAAGGTAGGGATGAATTTTTTCAAAGGGAGACATGTATGAGTTCAAGGGGAGATGTTTATGAATTCAAGGTAGGGATGAAATTTTTCAAAGGGAGATGTGTATGATTTTAAGGTATGGATGAATTTTTTCAAAGAGATGTGTATGATTTCAAGGTAGGGATGAATTGTTTCAAAGGGAAACATGTATGAGTTCAAAGGGAGATGTGTATTATTTCAAGGTAGGGATGCATTGTTTCAAAGGGAGATGTGTATGTGTTAAAAGGAAGATGTGTATGTTTTCAAAAGAGAGGAGTATGTTTTAAAGGGAGATATGTATGAGTGCATAGGGAGATGTGTATGAGATCATAGGGAGATGTTTATGAGTTCAAGGGAGATGAAATGGGAGGCTACAAAGTTTAATAATTTTTCCTCTTTTATTTTATTAAATTAAAATGATAATTGGTGAGCTAGGATTTTTTTTAAATGTGGGGAGGTAAAACAAAGTTTAGGAAACCATCTGATTGAAAGAAAGTACATGCTGACAAACATTTCTTTCTTTTCACAGGTTAATGAAAATCTGTCCCTGTATATGGAGAGTTTTGATATAGTGATAATTGATGACGAAAGTCTGGACGTGATAAACGGCATCATGAAGTGTATAATGGGAGCCCCCATTTAGTTCATCAGTTTGTACAGGACGCATATGTCTTTATTTATTATCCATTACTGCTGGACTCAACATAGTGTGGAATCTAACAAACGTTCAAGAACATAGGTAAAAATGAGCCCAGAAGATTGAAAGAACTGGCTGAAATTTTACAGCTGGGATTAAGAAACAGTTGGCCAATAACGGGACAATAATTTTGCTGTGCCCCCCCCCCCCCCCCCCCTTAAAACCTTAAAATACAAATTTTTAAAATATATTTTTACCCCACCTCTTTATCTCCTTGAAATCATAAAATCAGCTGATATCAACAGACAAATAGATTCTTTGCTAAATTTTTTCTCTTGTAAAGAATTTACTATTACCCTGAATGTTATTGTCAGTTAGGTACATATGAAGTCCATGTGACTGGTCATAACTATGTAGTAACATGATAAACTGAAAAGTACTGCCCTTATTTATGATGTGTAATATTTTATATGTTCAGGAAAATTATGATTTGCATCACATTGGTATTTTCTTTAACCACTTCCAGCCACCCACATATGTCGTAACGAATTCTGTTAACATATCAATTTATTTGATAGCAGAATTAAAAAAAAATATTCCTGGTCATTGCTTAATTCATCCTTCACTGTGGAGGTCATTGCTTAATTCATCCTTCACTGTGAAAAACTTTGTTTTGTAACACCTTTTGAAATAATAAATTTAGTTTATCTTTATATAATATATAATTTATAATAAATTATTAAGTAATAGAAATTTCATCTGAACAGAAAAACAGTAGTTCAGCATTGGTTGTAACAAAATTAAGGGAAAATTCTTAACATAAATGTAACAAATAAATTACTAAATAAATTGTTGACCTTGTCTAACTAACATCTTAAAAGTTATTTTGAAAGGTCTTGTTTAAAAAAAAATGTACAGTATAAATTTACATTAGTAATTGCTTAATAAGTATTTACACATGAGTTTGATATTAATTTATTTTCATTTTTACCAGATGGCATTTGAATAGTTAACTGACTAGTCTAGCCTAACTGTTTTATATTAATGGGCTTCACTTGTTAGGATCTCAAACTGTGTGTTCAGCATCCCATGGGACATGTCCATTAATTTCATATCAGAATAAACATTTGTTGAGGAGTTTTTTCTAGCCTTGGATGACTTATTTAGTACTGGTATCTTAACTTTTAGGTCACCCAAAAGCTGAATTTTTAAATCACTATAAAATGAATGGGAACTTTAATGTCCATCTTGAAATGGAGATCACTGGTTTATTTCTATGAAGGTGGCTGTCATTAATTTGTATGCATAAGTGCTGTGCTTCTGTTTAAAAGTTTAAACTTAGTGAAACGTATCGGGCCTTATTTAAGGTTTAATGTCTGTTCATTGAACATGGTTGATATTTTTATTGCCTTGCTTGCTGTTGGATAAGATTGTAGAAAAACATTGATTCATGATCAATGAAATCTTGAAATAATTTTCTTTCCTAGGGATATTCACAAATGATAGGATTCTCCAAGCAACTGTCCCTCTGTTTAAATGGGGGCATCAGACTAAGTGCTAACCAACAATACTGTCCATTCCTCAGCCCATGTTTATGACAGAGATATCTGATATATTGGGATACAATCAACAAATGCTTATTGCCTTTGGAGTGCCACTTTTGAACTATTTGAATATAATTTTAAAATGAGTCTGGAGGTGATTCAGCTGAGGTTGTTTCAGAGTATTAACCATTCACTGACTTGAATGTGGCATAGAGATTCATCTTAACACTGACCTGAATGTGGCATAGAGATTCATATCAAACACCTGAAGTAATTTAATTGTGTTAACTACTACATGCCATTATTAATTTAATTAGAATTAAACTCTTGTAATGAAGGGAACAAGCCTGTCTGGCAACCAGGGTATCGTTATCATCAAAAGTTATAAAGGTTAGATTTTTATAAAATATAGTAACACAATTTTTATGAAGTTTTAAAAAGGTCTCCCTACGTATTGTATGTCACATTAGGCTGTGGTGATTATTTAAATAAAACACATTTTTCTACATCTATTAAGAACTCTTGCACATATCTGTTTTGTTTTTAAATCCATCCGTCAATTATATTTGGAATGAGAGTTATAAATGTTCCTTATATTATAATAAATGGTTTATTTTTTAATTGTGCATCTGAACTGTGCACTGATCAAATGGGTTAAGGCATTTTTATAACAAGAAAAAGATGTTGGTGCTATCTCGATTTTTTATAATTAAATACTTGATTTACGCATTGATACATCTAGAGACCTTACTCCCTATGTTAACTCCTACATTTGTGTGTAACATGTACCTCTCATATCCAGTCTGTTTTCTGTAGAAACTCCTAAACATGTGTGCTACACTTTAAATTCAGACCCCAGCTAGTCCCTAAGACAGTGCCGTCCAACCTTTTTGGCTACATTTTTTTTCCTCGCATTGTGTAGATTAGTCCGACTGCATGTTTTTTTATGTGTATGTTCATTGTTTGACTTCTATAATGAACATTTTATTCAAGGGCCTCTATGAGTTGGTGTAGAAGTAGAAGTGCAGCTGCACATAAGGCACCCATCGGTTACCTATCTTTATCTGCCATATGCAATTCCAGGACCTGAGAACTGAACTAATGACCTGAAAATTGAACACTTTTCAAAAAATCAATACAAATTGATCAATTAATATAAAACAATTATTTCTTTAGGTGTAACTCAACTGTAATTTCAAGAAGAACAAAAGTCCTAGGCTGGCTGCTTTGACCCAGTCAGTGTAGTAGAATTAATTTTTAAATTTATGAATATATTCCAAACCAACGGATCATTTTTATGTGAGACTCAAACATCCCTAATCCAGATAATGCCACCTTGATATTACTTAAACAAACAGCCCTAATCCATCTAACCTTGATATTAATATTATGTGTACAGAAATATTTTGAGGATTTGTTAAAACAGACAACACTCAGAATAATTTTCTCACCACTGATACTGATACACACAAAATAAAATATAACAGTCATAATCCCACAGATTGCAATTTATGTAAGATTTTAATGTTGGACAAATCAATTTTGTTGTTAATAGGCTATTAAAATTGAGTGAAAATCATTCTGTCTATCACAGTGGTGGAATCTGCTTCAACTAAAAACAGATTTTGCACACATATAGTAAAAAAACCCACATAAATTATTTTTGTTAATAATATGACTTGATAAAAAAAATGCACTCATACTCATATAAAATACATAGAAAAATGGCCTGAGAAACAAGCAGGGTAAAAAATGTGATTGTATAATAGTCGCAGTTAAGCAAATGATGGTTAAGACTAGATCAGATGATTTGTCTTGTTTCTTCATCTTCGTACTGTAGTCGCTTTATAAAATGCTCATATAAAAAAACAGATTATGGTATGATTAAACAGATAATTACAAGTCAAATTATGACCAATTTACCACAAAAATAAATTTCTACAGGCATAGTTGAGAAATAAATTTTAAACAATGCTTCATTTAACAGTTAATACTAATAAATTAGAAAGAATAAAATTATTTTTACAAGTTCAATACTTGTTATATTATTAATATATTATTAACTTGAATTTTAATTTCAACTGAAGTCATTATTAAACAAGAGAAAACTACTAAATTATACACAGGTACAGGTAACAGATGGACTGTTGCTATTGCCAATGACATTTCCAAACCTACAACTACAATGACAGTTAAGGAAAATCAAAAAGGTTTTCTCTTTATAAGCTTTATATTAAACTATAAATGATTATGACATGAGGCTTTCTTGTTTTTTTTATGGCCTAGGTATATTTTTAAGAAAGAGATTAGTGTGTTTTTAAGCAATAAGCTTCGCCAACATTTAGAAATAACATATTTAAACATTCAAAACAAATTTGTGTCTTGTAACAGCTGTAATGATGTGAGCCTTTCATTTTTTAAACGACATAATTATTATAAACTAAAAAATTGGGAATGATACAATTTACAATGCCTTTTGTGTATAAAATGTATACTGAAATTTTAAAAAATTAGATAAAAAACCTTTGTCATTGTCTTGTAGCAATACTTTTAAGTGCTTGACGATGATTATAACAAAAATAGAGAAAAAAAGAATACTTTGCTTTTTTAAAAACTTTAACAGTAGAATGACTAATGGTGTTTTTTCTTCTAAAAAATATTTGTTCGAAATTATTACATAAATAAATATACATTTCTTTCCCCTTTTCACACATCTTATTAACCTTTAGCAGACCTGTTTACTCTTACGATTTTGAGGTGTAAACATTATATATAACGTATGTTTATTTTTTACTATAAATCTAAGGTATTGAACGATTTTGTGATGATATTGTACGATTTTAAGAGTTTGAGGGTAAACAGGTCTGCTTTAGTGATAAACGCACATCATGTTATACAATGTTTATTTTTAACAGCCGTTCATTTTCTGTATTTTAAAAAAAATGAATATGGACAAAAACAGCCTTACAATAATTTTGAAAAATAAAATTTACATTAACTTCTTAAATTCCCGATCAGTACATAAAGATGGCCAAAAAAAAAAAAAAAGACTTAGGTAACCAACATTTAAACGTAGTTTCTCTCTTATTGTTGATAAGCTAGAGAAAAAAAACTGGTTTTATTTTCGAGTGAGAAGCACATCTGTATTTTAAAAAAAATGAATATGGACAAAAACAGCCTTACAATAATTTTGAAAAATAAAATTTACATAAACTTCTTAAATTCCCGATCAGTACATAAAGATGGCCAAAAAAAAAAAAAAAAGACTTAGGTAACCAACATTTAAACGTAGTTTCTCTCTTATTGTTGATAAGCTAGAGAAAAAAAACTGGTTTTATTTTCGAGTGAGAAGCACAGTCAGTGGTAACATTTACGAAGTGGTTAAACAAAATACATTTTTATCATTGGCTCTATTCACATCAATGGGAAAACTTTCATAATTAGATTGTGCAGCACGCAGAATACTGGAAACTAGGATGACGGGCGTAACCCACATGGGCCACACAATAAAGCAAATAAATAATGAGATGCATTTAAGTCATTAAGGTGGCTAACAAGATACAACAGAACGTGTTTATTTTAACCTTCCTTCTGTTTTGATGTTTTTAAATATTGATAGTCATGTTAGGTTAGACTTTTGTCCAATGAATTGATCTATACCTTAACATTAATTCATTAATCTTGTTCATAATACTTACTGTGTCATTACCCTGATTAAATATGTCAATAGGAATGCTGTTATTAAGGTTAATATATGTTTCTGTTTTTTAACTCCTAAAAATATTTTAAAGTATCTCCTGGACTTCAGGAAGGGTACAAAATTCCATTTAAAAGATTTAAAATAGTAAAACCCAAGGGTCAGATGTAAGTGAGTACATATCATGCATTTAAAATTATCAATCAGCAGTGTGAAATAAAATCATGCAAGTTATAAAATAAAAAATTATTTTAAATAAATTGTTTTCATATAAGGTAATCAACAAAATGACAGCAGTCATAGAGGTACAAAAAAATGTTGACATGAATTTTAAAAAAACACAAAATTTGCATGCATTATCTGAAAACAAGTTTGAGCCGTAGGTGTAACTAAGTTCTAGTTCTGGACTATTCATTGTATGCATCAAACCAGAGTTGTCCAGATTTTCGCAGCATTCTGAAGTTTAAAAAAAGAAAAATAATTACTTCTCAATACATTCATTAAAAATGATTACTTTTATTTAGTTCCATTTACCAGTATTAACTTATTTACCGTTTAAAAAAAAAAAATAAATTATTATTAGTCTGGCTTTGAATTTATTGCTAGACATTTAATGTGAATCAGTAACTATTTGTCCCTCCATTTACTGCTGTTATGTTATTTACATTCATAAATACCTGATTATGTCGGCGCATGCATTAAACAGGGTTTTGTTTCGATACTCTATTCCATGTTTTTTACACAAAGACTGGACCAGTGGGGCCACCTTGTGGTAGTTGCATCTAGGCATGGTTGGAAATAAACTGCAGAAAGAAGATATTTGAATGTTTATGACTGTTTAAATTTAACGGACCCTTGAAAAGAAAAATATTCTGGTTGGCTCATTGAGATCTAGAGCAAAAGGCCAATCACCATTTTTTGTATTCTACTTCACAAAAAGAAACAAAAAATGCAGTAACTTTTGACTGAAAACAAACCAATTAATTATATTTATATTACAAATAAACCAAACGGAAAAACCTCTCAAAAATATATTTTTATAGGCTTATCATAGTGCAGTACGTAGTATTTATTATGCATAAAAACTAGTTAATATGGCAAAAGCGTAGGATTTAACAGATCTGTTTATCCTTCGCAATAGAAGATGCCCAAGGCTATATTCAACTGTGATTACGCAAGAGGCTTGCCAGTTCTATCTGTGCCTGGAAAGCTTTCCAGCTTGTAGAACACACTTGTTTTGGGATCCTAATATGATTGGAGTCGATTCTGCTATTCCTTGCTTAGCACTTTCTTTGAGTGTGAAGGGTGCATTTACGCTGAGGATTGTGCTCTAATAATGAGTCCGCCTCGCCAGTTTGTATGTTCCATGGCACACATTTCCCAGAAATTCCGATCAATGTCCATGAATTTGAGAGAAGCTTTTTGACAGTCTTTAAAACATTTTTTTCTGCCAACAAGCTAAGCGTTTCCTTGTGGGAAATTCGATTTTTACTAACAAGTCATTAAACTTTAGAATATTTTATGTAAATCTATAAAATAATTTTTTACTTACTCTAATTAATAAGATTTATTAAAATTAATACTCGGCTTTCATTTTTAACTTACTCTAATTAGATTTATTAAAATTAATAATCAGCTTTCAATCAGAGAAAAAGAAAGTCATATAATTGAAATTGTTAAAATCCTCAAACATAAAACTATTCTACTTCTTTACAGTGGAGCAATCTAAGTGTCAGCTGACCACAAAAACCACTTACTGGTGTTCAATCTGGTAATTCAAATGGCCAGAAAACCAGTCGTTGAACCAACCAGGCTTGACATTACAAGATGACCTAAGCTGCATTTGAAACCAATCAAGATCTTTGCTGTCCCAATCAACTTCATTGGGCAGATGGCTCATCTGGGTCACCCAGGTGAACCAATGGCTTTCAAAAAACCTGAAAGTAATGGAGTTATACACCGATTAAGAGTATTTAATACAATAGTAACAAATGGAATCTGACAAGCTTTTGTACAACACAGCATTTGCTTAAAGTTTGGCATTCTGGTGGACAAATCTCAAAATTGTACCATGGACTGGTGCAAGATTTAAACATAAATATTTATACTGTCAGGTAATGAACTAAGAAACATACACGAATATTTAAAATTCATTAGCTCTTCTCATAGCTTTTCCTAACTCAAAAGATTACATTTAGACAGATCTAAATTATTTTTCTAAAATCTTACATCCATCTACTTACCTCATCCCCATATAAAACCCAAATGTGCCCCAGCCACCAAAAAATGGTGTAAACAAGTAGAAAAATCTCAGGAAAAAAGCTATGGCCAGAGCCAGGTCCTAAAAATAAATTTTAACAAAAATACTTAAGTGTCAAATACAAATTTAAATATTATACGTTTTATTTGCAATTTTCTATCTTCTTTTTTTCTTTTCTTACATATATTGTTTAAATTGCATTTATTTTTTTTAAATTTAAAAAGCCTGTAAAATAAAAAATGAATAAACCTCTTACAAGCCAATCCCTCCTCTTGATGCAGAAGTAAATTATTTCAAAATGGAAGTAGATTGGTAACAATAATGGAGGACCCACTGAAAAATAAAAAAATGAACTATGACCACTCAAATTAAATTACTGTAATAAAAAAAAATGATTTAATTAAACCTGTTACTACTCTGCCAAACATTTGAATAGCATGAAATTATTTGTTTTTATAAAGTCTATTAAACTCATGTACATTATAATTAAAATTGTGACATAAATGCAGATATTTCTTACAACAACTAATATGACACATAATCTGTTTTTGTTTTGTTATATGAAACTATTTCCTTTCTGTGGTATGAACCTCTGCTTAGGTAAATGGAAAAGGCAAAATGTGAGATAATTACATAAAAAGAAATAATCTTGCTGCCATTGGTAAGGCATGAAACCCTTTTTCTTCTTGCCAAACTCCACGGGCAGCTTGTCCCCGATCAGAAACAAATAGGCAATCTCGATGTCAGGATCTTTTTTAATCAAATTAGGCTTGGCATGGTGCTGGAAGTGCCTGAAGTTCCACCAGTGCGATGAAGCTCCCTGAAATATTAAGTACACAACTGATACTAATCAATAAGACAATGGAAGAAATCTTTTCAGTTAATTTGAGGCTGGGAGGACCATAGTTAATATGAGGCTGAGAGAACCATAGTTAATGAGGCTATGAGAGCCATAGTTTATATGAGGCTGAGAGAACCAAAGTTCATGAAGCTGAGAGAACCATAGTTAATGAGGCTAAGAGAACCATAGTTCGTGAGGCTGAGAGAACCATAGTTAATGAGGCTGAGAGAACCATAGTTCGTGAGGCTGAGAGAACCATAGTTAATATGAGGCTGAGAAAGCCGTACCGGTAGTTTATATGAGGCTGAGATAACCAAAGTTCATGAAGCTGAGAGAACCATAGTTAATATGAGGCTGAGAGAACTATAGTTCATGAGGCTGGAAGAATCAAAATTAGAATGAAGCTGTTTTTTTCATCTCTTTTTATTGCAAGTTCCTTTTTTTAATAGAATTTTTGTGTTTTCCTTCTATGATTGTTTTAAGTGGTTTCTTTAGCTTTATGTTTCTTTTGTGGGTTTTTTTAATGCTTTAGTATGACTTTTTAAAAACTCTTCTTATTCTATCTTATTGTGTGCTTATTATACAATTTTTCTCTATTAAGAGCTGTTTTTCTTATTATAATGCTCAATTTAAAATTTCTTTGAGATATAACATTTCCTTAAAGCATAAAACTAATACTTAAAAAAACTTTTGTTGGTAACTGGTGAAGCACATGAATTCCTCAATATTATAGAAAATAGTCCCTAATGAACCTTTCAATGGATACCCCTCACCCCCAACATTTCCACCAGAATTTCAAAAGACCTACAGTTATATGTTTGAATAAATTATCCTAAGTGAGATCTGACTTCTCTTACCTTCATAAAACCTATAGTCAGATGATGAAATAAATGGGAACGCCAGACATCTGGAAACACACTGTGATGACCATAGTCATGTTGTGTCCAACCTGCTTGAGCCTGGAGATGGTAAGATTAAATTTGCCACAATCAGAGTCAGTAACTAGCAGAGGGTTGGACTGGAATAAGTCAGACGAGTAAATGACAATTTGGGATAAATAAAGTGTTCACAAAAAGCAGGCAGAAACAACAGGCATCGGTATAAATAACATGAATCCCAGGGAGAAAATTGACAGTACATACTATCTTCCCATTTTCTTTCACTGATTTAGGGTTAGGCAACAGTATGTGACACTCCAAACAGAAAGTATCATCCCCTGGCTTACTCTGGGTATATACTTTTGCCCACCATTCAGCACTTATGTTTAAAACAGTATATTCCTTAATTTTGACTTCCATAATAATAAGAATGTGGCTAAATAAATATGTATCCCTTCCATAATTCTAATTATAAGTTCCGGAGATTTTATTGAGGTGTTCTATTTATATTAAAGCAATTATCAGCAGATGGGAGAAAATCATCATAAATAATTTATCAACTCCAAACTAAAATGTGGGCATGGCATTGTTTAGTCCAATGCTGTGAGATTATTTAAAAGATCATATCTACACTATCTGTCATATAAGGCGACACAATTTTTATTATTTATTTTTATAGCTATCAATATTTAATGTACCTTTCTGTAGTTCTCATTAGCAATTCATTTTTTAAAAAATGTTCGTTGTGATTAGATTTTGTCAAATGCATAATTAGGTTATTGAATCACAGCATAATTTAAGTGATTATTTATTTTTACCTGTGCGGTGGTTAAGATCAACATGGTTGTGAGAATCATGTACCAGCTGGTGCCGAAATACCATAGAAACCAGACAGCTGCTGCCTCAAGGAATACAATTTGTAAAAAGTGAACAATGTAAAACAGCGGTTCAGGCTTCATCCAACCCTTCTCGACAACTAACTTGCGGAGCTGGCGAAACTCTTCTTTGATTTCTTTCTGTGTGAATAAAATAGTCATCCAAAATAGTTAACCAAGAGGGCTTTTACGGATCTATGGCATTTATGAATACTGCAATCTGCATTTATGTGAGCAAAAAAAAAAGTCCAGTAAAAGATTCATATTCTGACTGCTATAGAGCACCAGTAAAAAATGTAAATAGTTCCTTTCTTTAATTTGTGTGTACAGAGATACAGTACAGGTATAAGTTTATTCAACATGTTCACTCCACAAACAACATAAATAATTGCAATTAACATAGTCATCTCATACTCAGTTCATTAAATGAAAGATTCCTTATTGATGTTAATGCTTTAGTGTTTTAAAAATCTAAAAAAAATATATATAAACTTTTTTTAAAAATTAGATGCAAAATTCCTGAATCCCTTTTAAATGGATGTTAAAAATTTCTTACTTTTACTGATATTTTCTTATCTAGCGAACATTATTATGAATGTCTTGGGTGAGCTGAAAACTCAAATAAGTAAAATAAAATCCTGCCAGTATTCGAATAAAGGTATAATTTTTGTGTATAAAAATAAAATAAATGACAGAGTCAACTCACCACAGGCACATCTGTGACATCCCCCACATACAAAGTACTAAGATATTTACTGACTTTTTCCTTGTCATTATGAAAGGCCACCCATGCATCCTGTACAAAAAAAGTACAGACTTTTTTTTAAAAATATATATACACATATTGGAAAGCTTTGCAAATGGAAACCAATGTTTCTCCCTCTCACTCTTATCATGTGGAGGCCAGACATTCCTAGGCCAGACATCCCTACCAGTAGGTTTTATCTTGGTTTTGAGGTAAGTAGGAGATAATGTATAGTAATAAAGCCTTTTCATTGGTAGCTAAAACATAAACACATAATTTTTTAATCTATGCTGCACTATGCATAATCTATGTTCTAACTTATAAGTGGATGAAATTGATCTTTAGGAATAATATTTAACTTTTATTTTATAATTTTTCAACATCTTGTCACTCCTTACAAGGTAGAGTATTATGTCCCCCCAGTCCCAAATACAATTACATGATAATGAGTGACATTTTAGAGGGCATCAAAATTGTGTAACCAGCTTTATGCTGTGCATCATTGCTTAGAATTTTATTTAAATAATTTTTTAAAATATAATTACCGTGGCATCCTCCCCTGCATAATGATTGAGAATTTTAGCACCTCCAGGATGCTTTTTAGCGAATTCTGTGACATTGTAAACCTTTCCATTTATCAAAATCCACTGGTCATCTCTTTTATTGTGCCGACTTACTTCATCAAATGTTATTAGTTGATTGAGGTGTGAAGTACCATTTTGAGCTTTGGAACCCTTACCCATTTCCTAAAAAAATAAAACATAAAGTTAAAAATGAGACAATATTTAAGGAGGTTTAGGGTAAGCCAATACTACTTTTATCCCACTGAGATTCTTGCTCCCCAGAAAATATGTTTCTAATTAAGCAGGCCGGAATTTAGATGTCCAGATTATTAACCTCTTACTGTATATAGAAAATACTGTAACTTAAAATTAAACTTGGTTTAAAATTGAGCGGACAGCACTCCTCAGAACGGCAGTCCCAAATTAAAAATAGAATACTATTCGATAGAAAGTGTTCAGCTTTCAGTCTAATAGCCGCTGATAATTGGTGACGTATTTGTTTATGTCTAATGACTAATGCTCTATTTAAATTTATTCTTTTTTTTATGAACTTCATCAGCCTCTTCATCATCACCATCTTCTCAGAGAAATTTTTTTTTTTTAAAGAAGAAGAAACATAAAAAAAAATACAAGGGCAGGAGAGATTAAAAAAAAAATTATCTCTGTTGAATTGCTTTTTTGTAGGCTATCAGACTGTTTTCAGCAAGCCACTTTAACCAAACCAAACATTACAATGAAATGCCTTCTGAGTCATAAGTTTTTAGAATGTTTCCTGACAAAAAATTATTTGAAATATGGACATGGTATTGTTTATTTTATATAATATAATTATTACAAGCAATAATTAGTCTGCAAACAAAATTTGATTTAAAAAATGAAGGCACCAATTATGGACAGCTATTTGGCTGGTATTAGGACACTTCCTTACGAAAAGTAGTCAATTTTTAATTTGGGATAGCCGTTCTGAGGAGTGCCCAATAATAAATACATTTATCCACTAAAGTAAGACATAGTAATAGTATACAGTATACTATATTTATAGTCTATAGTGGTGTATAAGTATAGTGTGAGTAACATTAGTAATTAGCAGTGAACATTGAGTTAACAATGTTTTAGACTTTAGACTTTTGTCATCAGCTTTAATTTTTAATGTCTGATGTCTTGAGTCATAATTTATCATAACAGTCAAAGTGACTAAATAATATATATTATATAATATTATGACTTAATTTTTAATGAGTATGAGAATGAGTACATAAATTTAAATAATTAATATAAAAATAAACACACAGTGCATACCGACTCTCCAGTCCAAGTAGGCCTACAGTACTTAGGAGTCAAGTTAAGTGTAAACCCCTTGCCGGAGCCTTGCCCTTAGTACTGACTTAGCCTAATCATTATCAGCGCCAATGACAAATGGCCTATGGATTTAATTTCCTTGCAGGCCTTGCTCTATCACTATCACAGTCTAGATAGTATTAGTACTTTATTTAATTTTCCTTGTTGCATAAATTTAAAATCAACTGGTTCTGTATATTTTTACGCAACGGAATATCGAACAAACCTTTCAGTGCTATATACATTTATTCTGTTTTATATAAGCCAGGAATCCTGACAACAAGTACGATTACATAAACCACACATGTTCATTTTCGTCGTCACAACAAACCTAGAGCCAGAGCACTAAACAAAACGGAGCCGGTGCCTCTAGTTAGAATAACTAGGTCATTCAAATTTAGTTGAATTTTTACTCCAAATAATCTTGTATAAATATCTTTTTTAACTTCGTATATTTTTTTGCATTAAGTTAAATCATTATTAGTTTGCAATAATAATTTTATATTTTGGAGGGTACCATAAATAATCAGCACAAATTTATTTTTAAAGTGAGTCTGAAAACAATATCAAATCCAGTAATACTTTGTGATAAAATCTTATGAAACAAAGTTATAATATTTTCGTTCAATTTATTTCTCTATTAAAAAAAAAATATATAGATCTAATTTTTTTTTAATCGTTGAATTAGTTGATTTAAATTATTTAAAAAAAAGTGATGGTATAATGATCCAATTTAACAAATCTAGTTCTATAGAAAATATACCATAATGAAAGAAGATCGCTACATAAGTCTAAGTTATAGTTATATCTTTAATATATTGTTTATTAATTGTATACCTTATAACTCAGTGGTTCTTAATCGCATGGGCCTGCACTCCCTGTGGTTTGGATGACAATGTCAAGGGGTGATGTACAGTGGTAAGAAGGCACAATAAATAAATAAGTTTTATTTGCATTTTATTGGCATTTTATCAAGGCGGTGCCAATGGAGGCGGAAAATATGTTTTGAAATCTAGATGCGGGCACTAGTTCAGCTGTTAGTAAGTGTTAGCAGTGAAAGATCTTCAAAAAAAAAAAAAATGTTTCATGTTAAGTCAAGTAGGCCTACCCCAGCCATAACTAATAACTTTTCAATTATTTTTTTTAAATTTCCATATTTTTATATTAAAAATGTAGCCTAATATTAGTTTGAATTGTGTTATTGGCGTCAAATAATAATTATTCTTTAATCTTACAGAGTTTAGTTATTGCTCTCGTGACAATTATTGTCAAGAGAGCAATAACTAAACGCAGTAAGATTAAATAAGAAAAGTTACTAATTTAGAGTGAGGTATTTTTAGTAGTATTTTTCGAATTTTCATATTTCCTAACCTGCGGATTATTAGACTAATCTCGCACCTTTTACAAAAGTAAGAATGCATTTTAAAATAGCGGATTAATATTTATTTCATTGCAAAGAGAATTGTAGAACTTTAAAAGTAAACTTGTAATTAATTTACATAAAAGAGGATGTTGATGTAAAACAATCTTAAATATATAAACATTTACATCAAATATAAAAAGTTAAAGTCTCCACTGTTATTATAATGCCTTTTCCCGGCACCCCACGCCCCACACCCTAAATTCCACCTCAAATATCCTGGGGGGTGCAAGCACCCTAGTTTTGGAAACCCTACTTTAGATATTGTTTTTAAGCATTAAAAGAACATAAACCGGGGCTTTAATTAAAAGATTAGAGGCGTGGCTTCAGTTGACACCATAAAGGTACTTGTTGGAATGTTTCCTGAAAATGCACTCTCCCTTGTAGTAGATAATAATAATATGCTCATTCTGGTCAGAAACAAAAGTAATTTCGTTGCGGACACGTTTTCAAAATTAAGGAAATTATTCCTGTTGAAATCATGTCACGTGCATTTGTATAACCATTTATCAGTTAAGCCTATCTTTATTTACAACTCATTTATCAGTTAAGCCTATCTTTATTTACAACTCATTTATCAGTTAGGCCTATCTTTGTTTACAACTCATTTATCAGTTAGGCCTATCTTTGTTTACAACTCCTTTATCAGTTAGGCCTATCTTTATTTACAACTCCTTTATCAGTTAGGCCTATCTTTATTTACAACTCATTTATCAGTTAGGCCTATCTTTGTTTACAACTCATTTATCAGTTAGGCCTATCTTTATTTACAACTCCTTTATCAGTTAGGCCTATCTTTATTTACAACTCCTTTATCAGTTAGGCCTATCTTTATTTACAACTCATTTATCAGTTAGGCCTATCTTTGTTTACAACTCATTTATCAGTTAGGCCTATCTTTATTTACAACTCCTTTATCAGTTAGGCCTATCTTTATTTACAACTCCTTTATCAGTTAGGCCTATCTTTATTTACAACTCATTTATCAGTTAGGCCTATCTTTATTTACAACTCCTTTATCAGTTAGGCCTATCTTTATTTACAACTCCTTTATCAGTTAGGCCTATCTTTATTTACAACTCATTTATCAGTTAGGCCTATCTTTATTTACAACTCATTTATCAGTTAGGCCTATCTTTATTTACAACTCATTTATCAGTTAGGCCTATCTTTGTTTACAACTCATTTATCAGTTAGGCCTATCTTTGTTTACAACTCATTTATCAGTTAGGCCTATCTTTATTTACAACTCATTTATCAGTTAGGCCTATCTTTATTTACAACTCATTTATCAGTTAGGCCTATCTTTATTTACAACTCATTTATCAGTTAGGCCTATCTTTATTTACAACTCCTTTATCAGTTAGGCCTATCTTTATTTACAACTCATTTATCAGTTAGGCCTATCTTTATTTACAACTCATTTATCAGTTAGGCCTATCTTTGTTTACAACTCATTTATCATAAACTCAAACATATATATATATATATATATATATACACACACACACACACACAAACACACACACAAATTAAGCTGTTAAACAATTATTATTTTTTGTCACCGCCTTCTTGTCGACACACGAAATTTTTGAGGTTTCATTGCTGCTATCTTGTTACAATACATTAGGCCCACCTCGTAGCAGTGCTGTCTTAAGGCATGGGCCCTCTGGGGCATGTGCCTAGGGCCTCAAACTTCTAAGGGGGGAGGGCCTCACTCTTCTTGGAGACTCAGACTTCTAGGGTGCCTCACTCTTCTTGGAGACTCAGACTTCTAGGGTGCCTCACTCTTCTTGGAGACTCAGACTTCTAGGGTGCCTCACTCTTCTTGGAGACTCAGACTTCTAGGGTGCCTCACTCTTCTTGGAGACTCAGACTTCTAGGGTGCCTCACTCTTCTTGGAGACTCAGACTTCTAGGGTGCCTCACTCTTCTTGGAGACTCAGACTTCTAGGGTGCCTCACTCTTCTTGGAGACTCAGACTTCTAGGGTGCCTCACTCTTCTTGGAGACTCAGACTTCTAGGGTGCCTCACTCTTCTTGGAGACTCAGACTTCTAGGGTGCCTCACTCTTCTTGGAGACTCAGACTTCTAGGGTGCCTCACTCTTCTTGGAGACTCAGACTTCTAGGGTGCCTCACTCTTCTTGGAGACTCAGACTTCTAGGGTGCCTCACTCTTCTTGGAGACTCAGACTTCTAGGGTGCCTCACTCTTCTTGGAGACTCAGACTTCTAGGGTGCCTCACTCTTCTTGGAGACTCAGACTTCTAGGGTGCCTCACTCTTCTTGGAGACTCAGACTTCTAGGGTGCCTCACTCTTCTTGGAGACTCAGACTTCTAGGGTGCCTCACTCTTCTTGGAGACTCAGACTTCTAGGGTGCCTCACTCTTCTTGGAGACTCAGACTTCTAGGGTGCCTCACTCTTCTTGGAGACTCAGACTTCTAGGGTGCCTCACTCTTCTTGGAGACTCAGACTTCTAGGGTGCCTCACTCTTCTTGGAGACTCAGACTTCTAGGGTGCCTCACTCTTCTTGGAGACTCAGACTTCTAGGGTGCCTCACTCTTCTTGGAGACTCAGACTTCTAGGGTGCCTCACTCTTCTTGGAGACTCAGACTTCTAGGGTGCCTCACTCTTCTTGGAGACTCAGACTTCTAGGGTGCCTCACTCTTCTTGGAGACAGACTTCTAGCGTGCCTCACTCTTCTTGGAGACTCACTCTTCTATGAAACTCACTCTTCTAGGCGGCCTCACCAGTGTTTCTTTCAGATATCCCCCCCCCCCGGGGGGGCATTTCAGATTTTTGGAGGGTGTCAGTATTAGAGTATGATATGATGGAGTCAGAGTTGCAGTGCCTTGGCCTAACATATAGGATAAGGTGCTCAAGCCAAAGGAGCTTAGAGACCCTAACTGTCGTCCGACAAGAAGAGTAGATAGATCGTCTCAACCCTGAGATGTACAGTTCGTCAGATGGGACATACGTCCCCGGGACGCAGACTAGCGGGGGCACCAAAATTGGCTTGGATGTATAGAATGGGTGAAAATAGTTAGTTTCAGAGTTGATAGGGGGGGGGGGCGTAAAATGAATCATGTCCCTGTCTTCCCTGACGCCAAACATTCTAGTTACGCTCCTGCCCGTGGCTTAGACAGGAGGAGAATGAGGTTGTTCACTCGGGTGTCGTGGCTTAGACAGGATGAGAATGAGGTTGTTCACTCGGGTGCCGTGGCTTAGACAGGATGAGAATGAGGTTGTTCACTCGGGTGCCGTGGCTTAGACAGGAGGAGAATGAGGTTGTTCACTCGGGTGTCGTGGCTTAGACAGGAGGAGAATGAGGTTGTTCACTCGGGTGTCGTGGCTTAGACAGGAGGAGAATGAGGTTGTTCACTCGGGTGTCGTGGCTTAGACAGGAGGAGAATGAGGTTGTTCACTCGGGTGTCGTGGCTTAGACAGGAGGAGAATGAGGTTGTTCACTCGGGTGTCGTGGCTTAGACAGGAGGAGAATGAGGTTGTTCACTCGGGTGTCGTGGCTTAGACAGGAGGAGAATGAGGTTGTTCACTCGGGTGTCGTGGCTTAGACAGGAGGAGAATGAGGTTGTTCACTCGGGTGTCGTGGCTTAGACAGGAGGAGAATGAGGTTGTTCACTCGGGTGTCGTGGCTTAGACAGGAGGAGAATGAGGTTGTTCACTCGGGTGTCGTGGCTTAGACAGGAGGAGAATGAGGTTGTTCACTCGGGTGTCGTGGCTTAGACAGGAGGAGAATGAGGTTGTTCACTCGGGTGTCGTGGCTTAGACAGGAGGAGAATGAGGTTGTTCACTCGGGTGTCGTGGCTTAGACAGGAGGAGAATGAGGTTGTTCACTCGGGTGTCGTGGCTTAGACAGGAGGAGAATGAGGTTGTTCACTCGGGTGTCGTGGCTTAGACAGGAGGAGAATGAGGTTGTTCACTCGG